CTCTTTGCAAATATTTTCGGGCGTCAAGGGCCCGCGTGGACCGCTTTGGCCGCCTCAGCAAAAATCACAGCCTTGGCGCACTGTGGCAACATGATGCCAGAGTCCGGATGGTTCCATTCAAAAGCCACGCTGCGGAGGAGAATGGCGTGAGCATTGCTGGGAATGACGGAGCCGTGGAAGTATGAACGCAAAATGTCTGGGAGATTCGCGGCCTCTTGCAAGTGGTTGCTACTGCAGACAGCCAGCCGAGGCAGTGCGTCATGGGTGCGCTCTGCCCGAACATGCTCAAGCTCTTGCTCCACACCAGTGACTTCCAGCTCGTAATTCCAAGACCGCAAGGGCTTCTGCAGGCATCTCAGAAGAAAGCGCTGCCAATAGATCTGAAATCCGCAGCCTCAACAAGCCGGAAATTGACATACAAGGGGTCTTCCCAACCAGAAACCAGCCATTTGTTTTACTGCGGGAATCCAGTAGGTCTTCTGAACCCTGGCGGGCAGCGCAAGTTCCAAGGCACAAGCAACGAGGTTGAAGCGGCGTCCAAGTCATCTTCCCACAGGACGTGACCCACTTCGTTGACCCAAACGCAACACCAGTAGACGTGTGTAGGTGTCTTCAGCATTTGTGAACAAGGGGGGGCTGTGCAGCCATTTTCGTGCGGCTTGTTGCTTGGAAACCGCAGCTGCCCTAGCTGTCTGGCTTGAGCGTGCACCGCCCTCAGCTTGCTTTTGCGGCGCGCTGGTTTCTTAACAGAAGCCTGCCCAGCGCGCCGCTGCTGGCCTGGCCGCGGCCCCGCTTCTGAAGCTGCTTGCCTAAGGACTGCCCATCAGCAACGAACAAAGTGAAAGCAACATATCTCTCAACACTTTTTGCAACTTCTCCACCTGAACATGTAATTCCCGCAAGCTTGTGATGGATGGATAAGAACAAAACGCGGCCTATGTGCTGGGGCAAAGTTAAATCATGAAAGTGCGGTGCTTAATACAGTCCGGGCACCGTCGCTGGACGAAAAGTCAAAGCAGCATATGGCACCATGGGAAGCCACCACCTCCGCAGCCAAAGCCGCCACATCCTCCGAGCTCATCTGCGCTGACATGAAGCTCAGCAGCCAGTTCTTCAATGTGACCGCATCGGGCGTCTGCGAGCAATGCAACAAATGCCGGTGGATCTCACCCTTGTCGCAGTGTGGCAAGCTGCTGGCGCTTGGGTGCTCCGCCAAATGCCAAGAACACTTGGCGACGTACGTGCCTTTCTATCGCCACGTATGACTCCGTTGCTAGAAACGATTGCCAGATTGGTGGCCAGAATGAGCTGTGCGCAATCCAGTCGCCCATAACGTCTCCGACAAGTGTCGCGCCTGCAAACGATGTGCCGACAGGCAAGTTCCATCTAAAGCCTTCATGTGTCTTGCAGGAGTACGTCGCCGCTTCACACAGCCACATGCCAGTAGCTGTCAGGAATTTGCACCGCCGCTTTCCCCGGCAAATGATGTGGCACACACCGCCGTCCGCTGGCGGGCAGCTGGCTGGCATGACACGGTGCGCCAAAGGGCGGCTGCACACATCTTGCAGCATTTGAGCAACTTTTTCGGACAGACGCGTGTCGGGGTGCAGGCTGCGCAAAAGACGTCCCAACTCACCAGCAGCTGGGGCGGCTGGCACGCTTTGCCTAAAGCAGCGTGCTGACAGCGGAGAAGACACTGACCAGCTCGGCTGGGGATCTAGAATGGGCACGCAAGGCACTTGCATTCTGTCGAGCCGTGCCCGCTCAAGGAATGGCTCGTCAGCAGCCGCCTGCTTCGCCACCAGCTGGAGGGTGTATCCGACATTGTCGTGCAAGAGGGAACGGGCGAAAGCGCAAGGCCAAGACCTCGTTGTCCGAGCAAATGCAGTGAATTTGTAGAAAGGACTTCTTCCTGGCTGGATGTGGGACAAAGTCACCCGCCCGCGGTGGACGCTCTGCCATGCAGCACGCCCCGGGCATGACACACAAAAAACATGTCAAATCCAAGGGCTGCAGTCTCCAAGCCGCAGGCCTCTTGCTGGCAACCATTTCCGCACCGGGGCCAAGGGCGACTCCTCTGAACCGCCAAAGCTGCAGTAGCTCGCCGGCGCCGGACTTGGGCAGGCCAGCGTGGCTCCGCGGCCTTGCGCTTGCAAATCAAGAGCCTGGGCAACTTCTAGAAACCGCGCTCGCGGCTAAAGACGCCTGCGTTGCGTGTGACCTTGGCAGCCAGGGAGCGCAAGGCTTCGCAGTCAGCCTCGTTACTGGCGTGCTGCTCTTTGTGCCGCCTGAGTGTGCGGGCCGCGGGGATCAGAGCGATCCACTTGGAACTTGGCACTGCGCAGCATGGCAGCGAGCCAGTGTAAGTGCACACGGTGTGGCTGCGAAAGACAGGTAACATCTGGCAACATGCGCTGCGAACATGTGGCAATAGGCTGCTGACGCCCTCTTGCAACCCGCGCCCCACGAAAGCAATTTACAGCCGCCAGCGACACGCTGCGGACAGCAGAAATTGAGAAACTGGCCCGGCGAAAAACGGCGAGAACGGCGGGAACGGTGAGCCTGTGGCACCGTTTTTGCCGTTTTCGCGTTTTCGGCGTTTTCGCCGTTTTCGGCGTTTTCGCGGTTTTCGGCGTTTTCGCCGTTTTCGCGCTTCTGCGGTGTCATCCGCAGGGCCTGGGACACGCAATCGCAATCCACAGAAATTGGTCAGGGCCGGACATATTGAAGGCTAGCATCATGTCGTATCAAGCAGTCATATGCACGAACAGCTTCCCGTGGCTCCCAGTTACCGCTAAAGTAGGCAAGCAGCCATCTTCCATTTTGTTTTGAAGGGTGGTTCCCTTGGTTACGTATTGCACAGAGAAATGGAATGTACTTCTATCAAAACCAGGACGCCCGCTCTTTGTACCATTCGGTGATAAGATAGAGAGGTCTCAGGTTGCCCTCCATGTATGGCAACCAAGTTTAAACACTCCCTTTATGGCATAGTTAGACACACACACACAAACTCCCTCCAAATGGGTAACATGATGGTATATATTGACTACGGTAACCGCTCGTTGGTCGTTCCGATGGAGATTTGGATGTGAAGCCCTCGCTAGCGGGTACTTCGGTACGGCTCCAAAGCGACTCGGCACTCGGCTCCAAACCCCAAGAGCTCCATGGCACGTGGAAGGCTCAAAGAAAAGCACACGCCCATTCTTCAACCCTAGGCGTCCCTTGGCGCCCTGTGGTGAACCAAATGACCCCTCAACACCGCCAGTTCCTTCCGTCTGCTTTTTCGCCCCCTGGCAAAAAACACACACACAATATCTCCAGTAGTGATTGAGTCCCTCCAAAACTAACAGGGGAGAAACAACAAATATTCAGCACATGACTACGTGTCAAAATACCTGACTGATCACCAAAAACGGTTGCTTTTAACCTTGAACGCCATAAACCCCAAAAGGGCTTCCGAGCAACTCTAAAAACGACCCACCCAAACGAGTGCGTCTTTTCCGATGGGCATCTTTGCTGGCTTCCAAGGCAAACCAAAACAAAAGCCCGCCATTTGTTGGGGTCCCCGGTCCCCTCCGGAAAAAAATAGAAAGAAAGACACAACACATATATATATATAACATATATATATATATAACAAAAAACATATACCTGGGGCCTTGAACGACTGTTTCAAAGCAGGTGCGGGCCGAACAACCACTTCTAAGGCAAACGACCGGAACCGGTTCGAAATCCCAAAACCTACGGGGCCTTGACTTTGCCAGGCCTGTCTACTTTTCATTTTTCCCAGTTGGCTAAACCAGAAATGGCTGTGAGCATTCATGTGCACAATCTAGAGTCGAGAAGCCACTGCTAAGTACAGTTATGACACTTCAGATTTAATGAGTGTAGCTGCATGCATGTGTTCTTCACAGCCTTTGCCCAGTGCGCCTGGCTTGTTTCACAGACCTCTCCCTTTTCCCATATGGAATCAAGCAGCAAACCAAGAAACGACGCAGAGGCAAAATTCTGTCCACTCATGGTGTTAGCCTTGGTTTAGAACCTTCCGCATCATAAGAAAGGGCACCCTAACAAAAGGCTTGCTTTTGGGTGGCCGGACTCCTCGTTTTTTTTTTGGGGGGGGGGGGGACATTGGACTTTCGCAGGGCGGTTTTTCGGCTCGTTTTCGGCCCGTGTTCTTCCGTTTTCGGCTCGTTTTCAGCCCGAAAACCCGTTTTCGGGCCGAAACTGGCAATGGACAAAACCAGTAAACATCCAGAACCAGGCGTGCAACAACCAGAACCGTGTGTGCAACAACCAGAACCGTCCGTGCAAACAACTGTTTCTGAATTGATGGGTCTTCGGTTGCTTTTGGATGGGGCCATTGGGGCGACCACTCCTTTTTACCAGCAGAAGCCTCCTTTGCAAAGATTGGAAAGGGTTGTTTGGGAAACCACCTGAAAGACACCCATTGGGTGCCTGAGGGAAGAGTGATTTGACACACTGCCAAAGCCGCTCAACTATATTCTCGCCAGGGCTTTGGGGTGAAAAGCAATGTCCGTCGACCCCACATGCTGCTGATGCTGGCGGTACACCTATGTGGCTCTGCCCGCGGAACCGAAGGGTATTGAAAGTGTGCAACTCGCACAGCCCCCTTCTCCATGCCTTTCCCTTTTGCAAGAAGCTAGAAGAGAAAACAAAGGGATCAGTGCATTTGCGGCACGCTTGAGGCCTGACGGGTTGGCCGGGCAGGGTTGGCCGGGCAGGGTTGGTGCCAGTCTTGCAGAGGCGCAAGTCAATCGAGGCTGAAAAAGATATGCCCTACACAAAATACAGAAAATGGTGATCAGGCCAAACGGCCGGAACTGCAGCAAACGACCGGAACTGATGATGGATGTTCTTACGACTGTTTAAAAACGGATGTTTCGGGCTCCAGGTATATATATATATATATAAATAAATAAAAGACGACGACGCCGGGCGCGCGCATCGAAGGAAGACCCGCGGGCCGAGGGCTCGGCCGCGGAGGACCCGAAGACCATCACGACGAAGGCGGGGCCCGTGAGGATCAAGGCCAACAGCAGGACCAGCCGCAGGAAGGTCATGAGCGCTGCCTCGGCTCGGTGGGGAGGCTTTTTCTGGCGTTTCGGCGCTTCGCAATCACTTGAAGAAAGGGGGGGAATTGGTAGTTCGAATGTCCAGGTAGTTGACATCAAAGACAAATAAAGAAACCCCTCCAAGGAAAATGATTTGAGAAAAGGGGGAGTTGCTCGCAACGTCAGGTCCAGAAAGGTCGCCAGCTCCCACTTGCCCCCCCCAGTTCTCTTGCCGAAGGGCGTGGATGTCCACGCCGAAGGCATTGGGTCTCTCCACCTGGGCGAGGGAAACCGAGGGAACCTCGGCGCGACCTTCGGACGTTGGTCCCCCAACTTTCTAGGGGTACCTTCCATGTCCATTCTTTCCAGGCATCCTTCTTTCTAACAAACCACCCTAGGGAAACAGCTGGTTTTTGGAAAAGAACAATGGTTGAAAAGAATGGGGAATCAACCCCTGGAAATTTGTGCGCTTGAAAAGTCAAACAAAAACGAAACCCCTGCCATTAAATGTTGTGGGCCCCCTCATCAAGAACCGACAGACACCCATGTATCGGTCAAACCTGAATCGGTGGGTTGGTTTGCGGTGAGGTTCTACACATCCAGCGGCTCCAAACCACAAGCAAAGGGTTGCCGGAATATAGCTAACCTCCCCCCTTCCAGGAAAAAAACACTTATGAGCTGAAAAGCGGAAAGGGAATACATACCAACTCGTCTTGAAAAAAGGGGGAAACCCCCCAATGTCTCTTACATGCACGTGTTGGGGAAACCTCCAAACAGGGCCTCACTGCAACAAACATGGGGCTTGAGAGCCCCAGCCTGCACAACAAACCAAGCTGTTTCCCGCACGCTACCGCAAAATCAAGCCAGCTCCGAACCACAACTTTCTGGTGCACATGGAGTGGCAAGTTTCCCTGGATTTTCACTCTTTATTTTTCTCGAACTTTATTTGAGTGGCGCTGTGTTTTCACCATGGTGTTCATTCCCCCCCAAAGGAAAATGGATGGTTCCCCCCTGCAAAACCACTACACCTTTTCAGAGGACAGTGATGGTTTACTGGAATGGCACTGGATTTTCAATTGGAGTCGCGCCTGGCACAAGCGCACTGTGGCACAAGGACCACTGTTGATTGGTATGACCATATCGTGAGCTGTTGCAAGCTGACCTGTGGGAGAACGCAGGAATTCCGTCGGACGCATTGCTTCTTTCGTTGGATTGACGCTGGTGTTGCTTACTATTCGAGGGCCTTACGGGAACAGTGGACTTGAAGCGGCCTTGTTTAAAGCGGTGGTAGATGTCCTTGAATGTCATACTCCGGATGGCCGTGTCTCAAATGGGTAGCCCCTATTTTCTGGGAGGGCTTTCACGTGGAGCTCGGACTCATCAGCCCTCGCGTTCTTAAGTTCTTTGTTCATTGATTTTTACCATTCCGAAGCCCAAATCAAAGACAACAATGTGTTTGGCTCACACGGATCGCTTCTTATTCTTACTTGTTGTTAGGGGAAGGAGATGAGTCAGCAAATTCCTTGGACGAAACATACTGCGCTTTCCACGTTTCAGGTTCCTTTGCGCACGGTGTGCGGTCTCCACAGTGTAAGGCAATTTATTTGGCAATGTTCATGGCAACTAACGACTGCTACTGGATGATTAGTACCAATGTTCCAGCAAAAAAAAGCCTTCCACGGCAATACATGTTGTATCGTGTTCCGCGGAAGCTTCCTCACGCTTCCGCGCCCTGATTTTTTGTCTTTTTCCGCGGATTCCCATTTCGTCCCAATGGCTCAGCTTCTTCATGGGTCCTTGATCGCTTCTCAGCTCCTCCCTTGGCAGATCTCTTGGCAACATATGCTTTTCTCCCGGGCGCATCGCCTCGGCAAAAACTAAAAATCCAACAGCGAATCCGGCCTTCAGCAGGTAGACTCGTCCGTTTTCCGTGAGCACCAGCAGGGTCTCATCATCCTAGCCGTGACAAGAAGTGGGTGTATGTTTTGAGGGTCCAGGTATACGTTTGCAAGTTGGTTAAAGGGGAAACCACCAGGAAAAACATGATGTGGTGGGGCTGCCCTATTGGGATACATGGTTTGATCAAGTCTGGCTCAGCAGTTACTCCCCAATCAAAAACAACGTGCGGAATCTGTCTCATACTTGGTGAACTCAAAACTGTAAGATGTCATGTTCAAAAGAGATCCTTATGCGTGTGTGCCAAATGGAGACGCCAAAAGTGGTAGGATTGAAATGACACATCCTTCACTTCAGCCCACACAGGCCTATCTCTTAATAGGGGCACCCTTTTGGGATGGTTTTAAAGAGAAGCAACACCAACCACCTACACCCACATGGTTGCCTTTGGATAGCCTTTGGTTTCTGTTCTTTTGTTATTACTTCGCCAACTTGTTGAGGAACACCTGAACGCCTCGACTTTCCTTACGCTTACCGCTTGAACATTTCAGTGGCGATGCGGCGGCTTTCGCAGTGGGAGATAAGGCTGACCCCTGATTCACAAACACCTTATGTATTTAATCATTTTGGGGGGACCCTTTAGTAGGAATCCTTTCCCCCCGATTCATGTTTGGCAAAGGCTCTTCGTCATGGGTCAGCATTATATGTCGTTTTCTGCGTGGCTCACAGATTTGAAGGAGAACAACTATCAGAAGTGGCCAACACAAGCCCAAACTTGTTGTTTACCATTGACACTTACACGGGTGTCTCGCTCATCCGAAAGACTGATCGAATGCCTCGGGCTCTCGTTTGACTCCTGGAAATACGACTATGGGGAAGGTTACAGGGATCCGGATGCATGAAAAACACCTGAACATTGCAACTTGTAAATGGTGGCGTCCGTTTAATTTGGTGGGAAAAGCCATGTTTCAAATGGGCGAAATGTATCTTGTAAGGAGCCCTGTTTTACAACATGGTCTTCCCAAAAAGGTCCAAGTCCCTGAGGAGGTACCGAGCGACCCCTTACCCACCAGAAGCCATCAGGAAGTACCGAGCGACCCTCTGCGATCCCAAAAAGTGACTCAAGCCCGAAACGGAACTCAGTTGGAGTTCCCCCCGTGTTTTCGAACCACGGTGCCGGACTGTCCAATGCTGCCTTACCGTTGTGGTTTCCCTCACCTTTCCCGTGAAATTCCTCAAGAGTCCTAAGGAGCTCCCAAGCTGCAAGCCTCTTCCTCCCGAAAAAAAGCTCCAAGGAGCCCAACAAAAAGTGTGGCTGTCCCATATCCTCTTCAAGTGGCTCGGCTCCCCGGGCGCCTTCCCCTCGAATCGGGGAGGGTGTTGCGTGACCGGCGGACTCAAAACCCGACGCGTTGAGCTCGCGCCTTGGGACGAAAGAAGTTGAAGAGACCCAGGGTGACGACTTGAAGGAAGATCACCGTGATGGGATGGAACCTGCAGTTCAGTGACGTCCCTCGTGTCTTCTTGTTTTGGGGCTCTCAACCACCCAGCTTGTACCTGCCCTTTTTTGGGGAGTCCATCAGCGGTTTTTTTCAGCTTCCCTCAAGCTGTTGGCTTGGATTGGTGGTTTGGGGGTGAAACGGGGTGGGTTCCCATTTAACCTCTATAAGAATCAGGGTTCAAATCCCATACCACAAATCCAAACCATCAATTCAGGGGTACCGGAGCAGTTGTACCCCAAGAATCGTGGCACCTCAAAAAGTTTTTGTTTTTTTTGTCAGGTCCAAAACCTTCCAATGGGGATCCAGAACCCTCGAATGGAGGCTTCAATGATGCTTCGGACTTCCCTAACCCAAAAAACACGTACCTGGACCCTCCAACTACCCGCAATGGGCTATTGCAACACCCATCACTTTGGGCTGCAACCCATGGTGGGCTAGTCTTGAGAATCGGTCCAGGTAGCAATGTTAGCCGGGGGGGTTTGGAGGGGGGGTGTGGAACCTGAAGCCGAGGCACGGGCGTTCAGCAGAGCCTTCCCTTTGGCTTCGTTCAAATTTCATCCCAGAGAAGGATACCGAGCCTACGCCGTCAAACCCACTTTGACGTAAGTATAACCAAGCATATGACCGGGGTAGGACATTTCGAGGTTAAATGTCGAAGAGCCACCAGTATGGTTTACAGGCCGTCGCTTGTCGGCAGGAGTACTCCACATTTGTTTCATGGTTCGGGTCTGGCAAAAATGTACAAATGCCCGAATCCTTCTTGTGAAATTGGACACCCGCCCCTCTATGACAGCACGTTTTCATCATGAGCCAGTGTGAGGTCGGCCAGAAAAAAAGGCCACTGTCTGTAGGCACGTCATGCGCAAGCACAAGGGTATTGTAGTCGCAGAAAAAACTTCTGTCGACCAAACAGTCCAAAATGTTTGTTTACCACCCTGAGCAGCAAGGACCTGTTCTTGGGGGAAAGGATCTGCATTGGAAGTAATCCTTATTTGGTGGTTCAGATCGGTACTTTGGGATATGAACTTCGTGTTGATGGGAAACCACCCTGAAGCTCCAAACCAGGTTCCAAAACAACAAGGGGATAGTCTGACCTGAATGGCTCATCTCTCGCCAGCATCGTGGCCGCAGGATCCGAACTCGCTTACAGGAGGTAACAGACTTGTTCTACTCCCCTGCAGCTTAACATGGAAACTCCAAAACCACGAGTTGCAGATGAACCCCCTTCTGCGGGACGACCCCTTGTCGGGATCCACGGTAATTTGTGGGGAGTGGATCAAAACTGAAGGTGTGTTTGGGGGAGGAAGGGGATGGCAAGCTTTAGGCATGATGTGGTTGTGCCCTGGCTCTCAAAATTTGAGCCACACCCGACACCCATGTTTAATCTAAACCCAAAGAACAATTAGAGTTGGAACCCTGCCCAACATCTCCCAAGAAAAAAACTCGGCCAGCCGTTCCGACGCTCTCTGCCAAGTGGTAGCCGGAAACCCGGAAGCCTCCCTGAAAGCTCCGGAGCCCGTCTGTAGCAGAGACCAAAGCTGAATCAGCTGTTGGGGATTCCCTTCCTCCGTTGTGACCCTGCCTGGCGGTGGCCATCGGAAGAAACGGGGCACTTTTTATCCTTTTTTGGTCGTTGATGTTAAAGGGAAATCCACTAAGCAACCCACTTTTTGGTGTTGTGGTTGTCGATAACAGCAAGTGGCCTGGCCTCTGTGATAGCTGCTGTGGATGGACAAAACTGTTTTTTGGGCTTATCCCGATGCGCTCCCACGACTTCAGGAAAGTTTCGTGTGCTCACGCCACTCGTTACGCCAGCGGCGCAAACGTTACGCCGCAAACGCAATGAGCTGCGAGGCCTATGACCTCCATCCGGTTGCCCCGGACCGACACCAGGCCACGGGAAGCGAAGGCGGAGGGCGCCAAATTGTTTTTGCACACTTCGTCCAACCAAAATGCCAAGCACTAATTGAATGAGTGCCTAGAAACAGTTTCGCTTCTTCTTCTTTCTTTCTTTTTCCGGGGGTCGCTTCCCAGAAAATCCAGGTCCCCTCGCTTGGCGGTCTTCACCACGATGGCGTTCTTCAGCTGCTCCGGCGGGATCTCAGAAACCGAGCACCCGAGCCATCGGATCGGACCAAAAAAAACCGATCCGGAACCGGCGGTAACATCGAAAAATCGAGGGGGGGGGGGCAAACAAAAAAAGTGTGGAACCGGCATATTTTTTGTTTTTGGGTGTCCTTTTGGTTGCAAGTAAATATGATTTTCCCTGGTAGATGATGAAACCACGAGGTCGGCCAGGAATTGGCATCTATGCTCGACCAAAACAACAAAACAGGGCACTGGTGGTAGTAAAATGAGGACTCCTACTCCAAATTGGGCAGTCAAAGTGTACCTGAGGTACCTGGACCCTCAAGCCAAATGGGGGCAAGTGCAACCTCAAAGTTATGGGGTGAATTAGTCCCTGGATGAAGGGAAGTTTGAGGGTCCAGGTCGACTTTCTGTTTGTGTCTAACATGGTTTAGCCAAACATACGGGTGCGTTGGTAGATGGTGCAGTGGATGATGATCAGCCAAAACGTGCCGGAATTGAATTCGCTACTTTTTAACTAAGCCCGTTGAAAAACCTGCAGATTTGACATATACCCTTCAAGCAAGCGCGTGTGTGGAGTAGGGGCCCGAAGGACGCTCAAGTTTGGTTGGCTCACCTGGTCCTCCTCTCAGAACCCTTCTTTCATATGTGTTGTTTCTTTTTCTTGCGGGGGATGACATGAATTTCTGCCTGAAAAAGAAGGTATTTCCCACGGAACCCTGGCTTCTGTTGTGGATGTGTGAGAACCCTTTGCCCAACTCAAAGGGCCCGCGTTGCATGTCAAGAACCCAAAAACAAAAATAAACACATGGGCGGGTGCAATCCACTCCAAGAGGCTGCTTTGAGTCAATTCTCGTCTCCAAATCAACTGTTTGGACCCCCCTGAGGTGTGCCCACAAGGTTGAACATGTTTTGAGCGTACCCTTCTGAGTCTGATTTTTGCCCGTTTTTTAAGGCACTCGAAAAAGGCGACCCTGAAAAACCCGGATCCAGCTTGGCAAACTGAAAAACCCCGCAGTCACCAGCTATTTGAGCTGGTGTTTAATTACCTGGGCTGTCCGTTCTCAGGCCCCTGCTAAAAGTTTAAGCTTTACTGGCTTCAATGGACACCCAACCACAAAGACCCAACTAGAAACCTCTGAAAAAGCCGAAGGCACCGCACGATTCGCTGGGGGACCGGCCTCGTTGCCCATGTGGGCATAGACCTTTTGGAAGGTGAGCCGCTTTAGCTCGTCCTTCGCAGCCTCACGCGGAGAAATTATTCCCTGCGCCTCGCTGGCAGGAGCTGGAAACCAAACCCGGTGGGTTCATTTTCCTGGTTTTGGAGGTAACCGAAACCTTGCCACTCTTTAGAAACCAACAGGACAATAGCTGACATGCTATAAGATCAACTTGGATCCACTGGGAAAGGTTCACCTTTTGGGATCTTGACTATGGCATGACTATGGACCAAACTGGGAAACAAAAAAGGTCAAAAGGTTGGTTTTGGACAACTAAGAGGGGATGCAGACCAGTGGATTTCCTTTGGGAGACTTCCATATGCTTTTTCCATCTCTTGCCCCATCCGGAAAATTCCGAAAAGGGAGAGGAGGGAGTGCCAGACACTCAGCAACTTCTTGCCCAGGCTTCTATGGTTTCCCTTGCCGCAGAACCTCCGGATCCCCGTTGCCTCTGCAATTCGTGGGACACCAGGGAATCACTACCATCCGGAAAACCTCAGATTTCGAACCGAATGGGAGTCCAGCGAAGATTACCGATTGACTTGGGACAACCCAGCCTAAGCAACCAAAAGGGGAGTCCGCCGAAGAGGGGATGTATTGGTACCTCTTCTGGGGTTGTTTTCAAGGGACACCCAAGGGAAATCAATGCTTTATCTTCCTTAGGGAAACCCAGAACTAGCAAGGCAGTTGGGCGTGTTTTTTTTGGGGGGACCCCCCAAAAAGTGTGGTTTTCCTTTCGGTTTCCCTTAAAACCAACAAGAAATGGTACCCTCAAAAAATGACACCCCCACCAACCTTGCTGGAAAACGGGTACCTGGATCAATCAAACTACCAATACACATGGAATGTTGCACAACAACAAATGCAGTGGTTTTCCCTGTTTTAAGATAGTTTGTTGTGTAGGTACCTCTTTTTGGGCCTACACAAAAGGCTGTTGGGTACCCAAAAGCCATATTTGTTTACGCGTGTTTGAAAGAGAACCATCAGCATTTTGCTTCGCCCCTGTAACGGAAGCGGGCCATCAAAGTCTGCCACCCAAGCGGTAGAGACACAACCCCAGTTTCTGCCTGCGCAGGTGAGGCAAACACATTCTAAAGATCACTTCACCTCGATTTTCTGACAAATGGCCCAAAAGAACGGTTTGGCACAGACCATTTTTTTCTAAATTTGAGGCAAAACAACAGAACTCCACGGGCAACCAAAGGCTTTGCTTGCTCAGCAGCAAATGAGAAATGGAATGACCCCTTCGAACCATCCCCTGTGGTTTCCTGCAAGGGAATCTTTAGGTTCATTCCCAACACCCGGGAAAGCCATGCCCTACTGAGCACCAGCAAGTTTTGGGTGACACGCCCATTCTAGGTTCATTGCGGCAATGTCAAGCCAATTCAGTGAGTTCTAGGTGAGTTCTAGGTTCTAGGATCTATGTGACACCTGTTGCTGGTGAGTTTGGGAGCAAGTTCTAGGTTCATTGCGGCAATTTCAAGAGACCTTCCAGAAACGAATCGCCGGCCTTCCCCCGCCTGGTCTGGGCCTTCCTCGCCGTCCTCTACGACCTTCAGGGTCTCGTCCATGTCTCAGCGCGGTCCGGTGGCGTTTGGGGATCCTACCACCGCAGGTTATGATAAACCAAGTGTTCCTGGTAAATGATTCTACTTCACCAACTGAACTATATGAAAAACACCGAAAGACGCTTTCATGGAATCGCGGCCGTTGATTTGCCCACCATTAAGCTACAGAGTAAGTTACAACCTTTGCCATTCGGGAAAATGGCAGCCGCTCCCTATCGGTTTCCCTTTTAAAGGCGCTCCCACAGGGGTTTCCCTAAAAAACCAACCCCCAAAGTGGATTTCCTCAAAAGTCACCACCTATTTTCAATGAATACGACCGGGGCCAAGCATCATCTCACTAACCAGCCGCTATTCGTGGGGGGCCGGGCGGCTATTCAACTTCCCTCGCAAGGGGCTGCCTCGCACAAAGTGGCGCCTTGCTCTCTGCGAATCATGGAAAGCACCCCCCCGACCTGTCGAGCTTGTAGAACCCATAAACCAGGGGATCATGCCACATGCGCAGTGTGCGTGGTAGCAGCCCGGGTTCTATGCAACTCACGTGCCAAGCATCATCATGCTATTATATGCTAGTTGTTTCAACACCAAACTGAATGGGACATCCCCTCGCGCGTCTAAGAAACAGAACCAGCAGCAGTTAGAGTAGCTGGTTTCAGGGAACATGCGGCAACTGGTGAAGGATACTAAAAACATCAAAGTCTCGTCTGTGGCTGGCTTCTAGTTTCGCATCAAGCCATAAGCAATAGACAATCAGTAGCCCACCACCAAGGTTCACTCATGCGAGCCCAATATCTGACTGTTCTCGGAGCTATCAGACTCATAGTTCCTGCGGAATTTTGCCTTTGACCTACCCAGCCTCTTCTTGATACCCTAGAATTGCAAGTGAACCAACCACAACCCCCAGACACATTGGGATCGCTATGTGTTCAGCGTTCTCATGCTTCCGCTATGGGGTTGCCTCCAAACAGGGAACCTTCAAAACAGACACATCGTCTTCCGTCTCAAAAGGAATAGTTGAATTGTCATGAGCCCGCAAACAAGCCCGGACGAATCGATCGGCAAACAGTTTTCACAAGACCTGGTCAAAAGGAAATAGTCCCCCTACTCCAAATGCCTTCCTTTTTTTTGGCATATTTTGGAAAACCTGGTTCTCCAGTGTAAATACCTCTTTGTTGAACCTTGCCCGAAACTAGACAAACATGGGAGAATCAACAGGCTAAACGCCTTATAACCATGGTTATAACCGTTTACCGGGGTGATCGCCCCTACCAAGTAGTTTATAACCAATTGCAAAGTAACGCTGACCCCGGCTTAATCAATGGTGAATTCATATGGGGGTGTTCCCCTCCAGTGATGATTCCCCACTACCAGAGACTTTTCCTATGAACAATCAGGGCTTTCATCCGGAATCAACAGGTTGGAACCATTGGTGGCACGAGCACCAGGGCCAACAAGGCGATTCACTCATAGCCTCCGGCATCGCTCTTGGAAGCCCATGGACCCCAGTGGTTGGGGCCACTGGATTCCCCAAACCAAGACTCCCGTGGCCCCAAAGGACCTGCAAGTAAAAGGTTAACCTTTTGGGTCCTCTACTAAAAATAGACTAAAAAGGGAAAACCGAAAGGTCAAAGGTCGATTCGCTTTGAACAACTGAGAAGAGGGGTTGCATTCCCCAAATCGGCTGATCAATTCCTTTAAACCGATCGCTGAAAGGCTCCAAAAAGGGAAATGGAGGTTCCACCCGGTTGGATTCCCCAAAGCAAGAGGGGTTGCCATCAAGACCTTGGCTTTTGGGCCGCAGGGCTGCTGGAGCATGGAGACGTCATGGCCCGGTCCACCCACTCCTTCTCATCCAGAATGGCCCTGAGTCAACAGAGCGAGCGGTGCCAAAGCCAAAGGGACGCCTTTGCCAAAGCAAAAGGGTCCACTAAACCGCCACTAACAGAAATTCAAAGGGATATTCAACTGCTATATAGCCAAATAGAAACTCATGTGACCTGCCAAAAAGGACACTCCCTCCAAAATGGTAAGTCAAAGTGCACCTGGACCCAACCAAAATGAGGGGGATGTGCCAAACTGGTTGGTGATGTCCCTTTCTTATGGGCAGTTTGCTCCTTGGTGGTTTGGCTTGGTGGTTTGGAGGTGTTCCCGGGGTGGCTTCCGATTTGCCCAGAACCAGGGTTCAAATCCACCAACCACCAATCCAATCCAACAAATTTGGGGTTACTTGATCCTTAAAAACAGAAGTGTGTGTCAGTGGTCCGCCCTACCAACATGTTGAGCATCAGTGGAATCACTGGTCTTAAAGTCACATGGTCATTCTTCAATGCATGACAAGATACTTACATGTTTTTTGGGCAAAGACGTTTGTGGCATGTGTGTGTTTTTCCCTCCTTGGGTCGTTGTCCTAAGGCCAGGTAGTTTGAGGGTCCAGGTCCTTGTTCAAGCAACTTGCTGTGCTGCCCATATTTCGCCTTTGAACATCACCCCAAAGGAAAGTCACCAAATAAATTGGCAACCCAAAGGTGACGCCTAAAACCACCCTTCAAGGGCGAATAACAGCAGCCATGGTAAGGCCAAATCCTTTCAATGGCTATAACCTACTGCTTCAGCCAAGCACCCAGCATTTAACTTTATGAGAATACTAAGACTTCAAACCAACATGTTCTTGACCAGACTTAGGCCCGTCAAAAGGTCACTCATTTTTTGTTGTATGTGTTTTGCTCGCAAGGGAAATGATGCAACCATGGGGGCCTGGCAATGTGACAGTTTCAAGTGTTTGGACCCATCTTTTAGTGAACGCTCAACCCTAAACCTACATGAGTCATAATAAAACCCGGTATTAAAATGGTCGTCATCCCAGAACCATGCGAAGAATTAAGAAGGCGGCCGCAACTATTCATGGCTGGGAGTCTCCCTTACTAACCTCCATCTACCCGGGTTTTGGTTGTGGCTCACATGTGGATGGTTACGAAATCCATTTCGCACCGCTGTTCAGAAACCCTAGTTTCTGACGATTCCCCTGTAAGTGACAACAAATACTGCTTTCAATACCAACAAGTACTGGTTTCCCGTGGTTTCAAATTGGTGCAGGGTTTCGTCCATCCACCGTAGGACTTATTTTTTTGTTGCAATCATTTTAGTCAAGGGCAAAGATGTCTCAAGTGTTGCCAACCGAGTTACAATGCTAAACCCCGTTGCTTTTGTTCTGATCTCCTTGGCATTGCTTCGGGTAGTTGACGGACAATCCTAGAGCGAAAAAAAGGGAAAGCCCGCAACCTCCCGCAGTGGGAAGTTTAGGCGTTTCGCCCTTATAGTGGGCAACCATGCCGCCATTGTCCTTTTTTTGTGACCTACCCAGCCAGGTACCTGAGGTACCTGGACCCTCAAACTACTCTTGAAAGTTGGGTTCACCCACCATCATTGTGGGTTGCGAGCAATACCCCATTTTAGTCAGATAGTTTGAGGGTCTCGGCAAGACCAGACGATCCACTGGACAAAACCCGGTAAACGGGGGGGGGGGTGATCAAAAGGTCCGGTAAACATGGGATGACATGGACGACCACAAACAATCAAAAAGAGTATCTTTCCCACATGGCAAAAGTTACCCATGGTCCAAATTGGGGGCCTTTTTCGGGAATATTGATGGATCAACACGCAAATGCATCCATCTGGGTCCAGGTGTTGCAAGCCACCCCCGCCGATACAAGCCCGAGCCACGGCTCCGCTTCCTTGTTCTCCGTCCGCCTTCGGATGGGGTCGAAAGCCATGGATTTGGCAACCCAAGTGGGGATTGAGCAAGGTTCCTGAAAGTCCCCCAAAAACCATGGCTAACTTCTCCCATGTAGGACATATCACGTTTTTAGTGGTTTCCCCCCACGGCCGTCCAACGTTTACCGGACCTTTGCTGCTCGGCGTGATCCGGATAAGCCCCGCCAAAAGTGATCTGAATCCCCCCTATTAAAAAAACAAATGTTCATAAACTGGGGTTGATTGATCCGGGGTCAACAGTTAAGACAAAAGTTTCAAAAGAAACAACCAACATTATGGCTGGATGTATAAGGGAAGCACCAAAGTAACGCAAGCATTTTGGGGGGTACCCTAATTTGAGACACAGATGGTACGAACAAATACCTTTTCATTTTGCCTGACTTCAGATGTCGCAAAATACCAGAACTCCTTCGGATGTCCTGTCACCAAGTCGCAAAAAGAGCCATGGGCCGATGTAATGCAAATGGCGCTCACTGCACAAACTCCGTTCTCAACAGCTTGCCCCTAGTAAGGCCAGAACGAATTACATTGGTCACATGCTCGGCATAGCTCCAGCTATAGAGCGCCGTTTCGATGATCAAAGGGTGAACTTTCCCTGCATACTTCATCCTCAAGGACAGTGCCTTCGGCTGTGGGCCAGGCAAATTCTCGAACAAATGAAGGCAAGCGGAGTTGCTGAAAACGAGAACCGAGTTCTCTTTCAAAACGCAGTTATATGATGGATACTTTGGTATCTCACTTAAGTCCTGCGGAAACAAGTAGTCGTCCTTGTACCTCATTGGAAGACGTTCGGTGGCTGCCCGGGTCAAGATCTTCACGGATTTGCTTCCGCGGGCCATGTAGTACACGTTCACGGAGCCGAACATGGCATCAACATGAGGTCCTGAAGTCGAGTAGCTGCCTAGGAACCAAAACGGCCAATTTAAGCGCGGATGGTGAGGCCATGGGAGGATTCCCTCAACCAGCTTGTCCAGTTCTCCATACTTCGCATACCTCGGTGGCTGTCTGCTCCATTGCTAAAAAAAAAAAAAACTTTCGGTGGTTTCATGGAAAACCCACCTAGTTGGCCAAAAAAAGTGTAAAAGTCCCAACATCCCTTGGCAAAAGTAGCAAAGATACCACTCCTCGAACTTCACAATCAGGAACTCCTCGTCCTCCTTGTAGCCGTCCTCTGCCAGAGTCTTGGCCAAATAGGCCTCCACTGACTCATACTTCTCCGCGGGCAGAAGCGGATGCTCCTCGGGCCATTGGATCAAGAAGGGCACGTCCTCTGCAATCAGCTGCCGCAGCTCCCGAAGATCCGCCTCCGTGTTGGGCGGCGCAAAGACCGGCATGGGCACGGAAGGAATCTCAGAGCTGGACCTTAGGCTTGAAACTTCGACCAAAGCTGAACAACGGGCTTGTCTCAAAGGAATCGGAGCCCCATTTTATGGGCTTCGGTGTCCTTTTGGCTGCCGTTTACAATCAACCAAATCGGGTACCCGACAAAAACGCACACACACACACACACACACTCCTCCGGGAGGCCCAATGTGCTCCTTCTTGTCGGGAACCGGTGGCTGGTAGCTCAGGTAGTCCCCGATTCCCCGCAGTGCCAGCCCGAGACGTAGTGCTGGCTTGAACAGGAAGTCAAGGTTGAAGCACGACATCGATATGTGAAAGAAAGAAGTACTACCGTAGAACTATCCTTCACATCCCTCAGAGGCCAAACGGCAACACAGGCAGCTGTACATGACCCCAGCGAGGGATCCAGGCGGAATGGAGCCATCATTAGAATGGGTCAACGTCAAATGCTCTGGAGAAAACGGAGCAGGTTCCCTTGGGCAAGGACTTCCAACTCCAAGCTGCCCACTTGGGTGTTCCATTTGCCAAGTTGGTAAGTTGTTGTGAACCTAGGTTGCAACCCACAAATTCAGTCCCCCGTGAACGTGAGGTTAACAACTTGTTGTTAAGGGGTTATACCCCAATTGGCTAACCACAGACACTCACTTGTCAACGAACATCCAAGCAAGTTCTGTTGCATCCGAGTCCCGGCAGCATAATCAGAGTGGGTCATGTGCTTCTGCTTCACACCAAACGGGGGCTCATGAGACTCAATGGAAAACTCACTCGCCCAAAGGACCTGAAAATAAAAGGTGATGACCTTTTGGCACCTTTAGAACATCAAAGATGGACCAAATCAGGGAAAAACCAAAAGGTTAAAAGGTCGATTCGCTTTGGGCAAGTGAGGAAAAAGAATAAATCAGACCTCAATGTCCTTTGGAAGAGAAAACACGCTACTGTGAAGAGGGCCCGCAAAAGCAGTTGCGTCAGTGGCAGCCCATGCGTGTTCAACGTCAGGTAAACATGGTACATCCAATGGCTATAACTAGTTGGTCTCTAGGGTCGAGCATGGAAACACCTAGGTAGCTTGAACACCCAAGTGTTCACCAGCGACCAATTGCCTTTCAAGCCAGCCGGAAAACAAAGAGAAACCACCTGAAGCAATTGTACTAAGTGCTAGCGCCGTCCACAAGCAAGAATCTCACAGGCAGGGAGGGCCATCCTTGTTCCGGGGGTGTCGGTTCGAAGTCCCGAACCTTGACTTTTTGCTCACTCTGTCTCACTTTCGATCCAGACAGGCCAAAACACAGCAACCAAACTTTCTGTTTGCCACCATAGGCTTCCCACAAGTGACAGTCTAGGAACTCAGGGAGTGAGCTGGAGCGGGAAGACACCAGCGAAATCAGATCGCAGAAGCCCTACCCGAAGATGAACTTCAAAGTCCGAGGGGTAGAGATCAACCAGGAAAGGTATACCGAGCAACTCGAGCAAACTTTCGGTGGGTCCAATGGAAAATCCCAGCTGTGTCTATCAAAAGTCAAAGTCCAAAGATCCAACCATAAACTTTTATATAAGGGAAAACAACAACTACGTTACAAGTTCAGTGCGTCGCCTCACAAATGGTGCGCCGATTTCTTGGGGCAGGTTTCTGGTTTGAAGGGGAAACACCAGAGGCACCACATCTCGGCCCCTAATAACCAGGGTAACTGGTGTACTGGGGTTAGTCACCTTCTAACTCACGCCATAAAGTTGAAGGACATCTGCGGCCCCCGGCATCAAACCCCGGATTTGATCCATCACCCCGGCCATCGCGACTGGTCCTGGCTTGTTGGATGAGGCAGGCGATGAAGCTATGGAGCTTGGTGGGATCCAGACCACAAAAATGGGACACCCCAAGTTTGGAACCAAGAATCGCAATTTGGAGAGGAAGCTCCCTTTGCGGAGGCCTTAATTTGCACGGAGGTTGCCAGCCCCTCCCCCCCATGGTTGTGCAATGGCCCCAAAACAGCCCAATGGCCTCTGAAGAAACCTTCCATTTGCTTAAGTCCCCCGGGAAAAAACAAGGAAAAAACAACATATTTCCAGTAGTAATAGATTCCCTTTAAAAGTAAACAAATATTCTTAAGCAAATGGAAGAAACCATCATTTGATAGCTGTTGGGGTCCTGGTCTACGCCATTCATTCCAGTTTTAGTTCCCTTTTATACAATCAATGAAAATACGTGCTGGTCCGGACAGCATCCGACCTGCAAAAGTTGGCCCACTGTTTGCTGGTTGAAAGGGAATCGATGGCAAAATATGAAGGCAAAAGGTAAGAAGGTAAGCTTCATCTGGCAATGGATATCTAGCACCCAAACATAAGACTGCCATTTTGCGCACCGTCCTCCTCAACAAGGCTTGTTCTTATCAGCCATTCAGCCGGGATTCCACATCCCTTTATTCGGTTGACGGAGCAAAATGTGACTCAAGTTCAGCAAAGCAACCCTACTTGGGTTTCCTTTTGGGGTTTGTCGTAAAGGGAAACTGAAGGAAACCAAAGCCCACTACGTAGTTCTCTCCGAACCGAAAGCCATCACCAACAAAACTCCTTTTGGAAATTGCCAACCAAAAGGTGATACCTTGGCTGCGAGCAAGACAGGGACTCTCCACGGGCGTACTTGAGATGTTCAAACACCGGGCAAACTCACTTTTCGGGAGGTTCTGTCCCACGTTCTGTCTCCCCACAAAGGGTAATACAAGGCAAACCACCAAGAATGACACAATGGGTGATTCTCTATTCGGGACCCGAAACGGTGGACATCATTGCGGTGATTTGTTTGTGTCCACAATCTATTTTGGGGTGGGTCCCGATTGCAACTCATAGCCAAATCATTCTGTCTTTCTCGGAGGGTACCCTTTTTGGGATGGTTCGAAAACAGCAAACCGCCAGGTTCTCAGACCACAGCTGGTCTTTGGGGTATGTCCCAGTATAGCAAGAGACAAAATCGCGTATCCCTACGGCCCCGCTCCGCCCGCTCGGACCAACCGCGCCGAGTCCGCGATCCGCGAGTCCGCAGACTCGGACCCACCGCCGCGCGAATCCGACACTCCCCGCGCTTCGAGGCTGAGGCGAACGGCGATTTCGGCGGTTTGGGGACCCGACAAAAGCAGAAGGAGTAGCCTACCACCACTCATTTCTGCTCCCCTGCTAAAGGTTTAACTTTTAGTGGCTCAATGGAAAACCCATTGGTTGGCAAAAAGTTCAAGTACTAACATCCAAGCAAAATGCAACAAGAAACAACCAACATGGAACTGCACCAAGCCCATCTCCAAGAGCAAAGTACTGTAATCCTACAGGGCTCTGTGCACTTTCATGTTCGCAAGGTGTCCAAGTTAGTGTCAGTGGTCAGCCAATCCGGGTGTGAAACACCTCCTAACAAGGTGAAGCCCACATTCACGGGGACCTTGCGAGTTTTGTGAATCTGGGGGTCAACAGTACCTACTTCTTCACGAAGCCCCAGTTTTCCCCTGTCTAGTTGCCAAAGCTTCTCCAAAGCTCCAGGGCTGAAATTCCAAAACGCGACTCACACCGGCCAATCTGCCCCTTACCCCCCAAGCTCCGCCCAGAAAAGCCCACTGTGGTTTGCTTCCCTCCGAGATTTCGCAACTCGCAACTCGCAACCCTTGAGAAGAACCTGCAAAGCCGTTTGTGTGTGTGTGTGTGTGTGTTTTTCTGTCTTTTCGAGACAATAAATGTTTTTGGTGAAACGGCCTGTTTCCAAATCTCGATATGTTAAAGAAGTTCGTGGGTAGAGTGCGTTTTGGACGGCCAAACAAAGGCGGAAAACACCGGAACAAAGGCGGAAACAACAGGAACGGGCTCAAAATTCCGGAAATTCTAGATGAGCGAGGTTACCTTTCCACAAAAGATATCTTCTTTCCAAACGACGATCTTTTTCCCGAACAACGACCAAAACTTGGTGCTTTTTGCTCGAGGGCGTTTTCTTCGCACGCATGAGCTTCGCAGCAACCCGGGGCCAGATCCACATACCGCACGACACATCGAAATGGTTCCTAGGTCCAAGTCCTTTAGCTCCATGGAGTGCCGGACATCGGACCGTCGAACGCAAGAATGGGTTTGTACCCAAACTGGGCAACCCCAAGGCCAAATATGGGTTTGCCTTCTGAACTTTGAAAACAACCAGCCAACAAGAAGACCGAGCCTCACAAAAAGATACACCCCGCCCCCCAGTTGGGGGTTCATGTGTATTCCAGAAGAAGGAGAAACGTTCAACGGTCCACCCATGCAAACGGTTTTTGGGTTAAAACCCACTGACAGTTCTTCTTTGGGCTTCGTGACAACCCTAGAGTTACTCACTCGCGAAGTCGGCCCGTCCAAGTAAACTTGGCGTAGTTAAAATGTAATGCTGACCCCGGTTTGATCACCCCCAGTTTGTTCCAAAAGTGGCGTCTGATTCCCACTAAACCCGGTTTGACCGCCCCCTATTCCTGAAACCGCTTGGTGGATTTTTCGGGGGAACCCCATGACCTCCTTCGGGCCAAAGCCTTCAGCTCTTTCGCCACCCGGAGACGAGGGGGGTGGGCACCTGAAGGTTTCTCAAGCCCAGCTGCACCGCCAGCGGGTGGTTCCTCAGCGTCCGAGACTCTCGACCAAAGCGCCTTCACCCGCCCCTGCCTCGGCTTTTTGCGGTTTTTGGGACCACCCCTTCTAGGGGGAGCCTTGGGGACCCCCCAAGAAAACTCCAGAATGCCAAGGCACACATCTCACTTGCGTAACATGTTCGCGTGAGTTTTCTCAGGTACATGCGTGGTTTCAGCTTCCCTTGGATTTGTTGGGTGGTTTGGAGCCCGAGCCCGGTGGTTTGGTTCTTGAAACGGAGGGAATTACCATTTACCCTCTACAAGAACCAGTGAATGAAAAAAGAACGAACCACCAATTTGGGGCTGCCTGACTCTCCATATTCTTTTCCGTTTGCTTGTCCCCGTCTTCTCATGCAAAGTGTTGATTCCTTCATGCAAATGAATGGAGACATGCGGGCCAATCAGGATAGTTTTCACATGCGTCAAAATAGGTGGACCCTCTAAAATGTGTGTGTCTGCCTTCACCAAGAAGTTGGGGCAGTTCCAGCGGAGGTTATGTACTTCCCTCTACAGGCCAAAGGGAACCCCACTTCAAACTAAAAACATAGAAGCACCGCTACAGGCGAACTAAAACAAAGGGGTAGAAGCTGCAATCCTATTTTGTAATGGGAACCCCTGATTAATAAACCCCAGTTTGTGAATAGGGGGGTCTTTTCTGTTAGTGGGGACTTATCCATCGTTGTTGGAGGGATCCCCCCTCCCCACCAATAGAACGGGTGTCCAAACCTGAAAATGCCCTGCGAACCTCCACCTCTTGACAATCCGGGCGGCCATTTCAGCGAGGCCTTTTCGTTGCCAAGCAACGGAAATACTGAACGCCGTCTTTTTGCCGCTTTTGGGACGAGTTTGGCATACCCACAAGAAGGATCCGTTACGACTCTCAGACACTGTTCCACACACTTGCCTAATGAGGTGGTCTAAGGACAACCCTGCTGGTTCATGGGCCCTCCGGAGAAGCCTCCCAAATGGGGAAAGGCCCGCTTGTGGGGTGCCATCTAGGTGTGTCTCAAAATGGGTCAGCCTTAAAACTGAGGGTTGTCCCTTTGCTGTCCCTTCAAAGCACGCCACAGTCAATATCAGCCATCAAGACACACTTGCGTTTTTTTCAGACTTGTTCGCTGTTCAGCCGGGTCATTGCCACCTGGACCGATTCTCAAACTGCCCTTAAAACGACTAGGACAAAGCCAACCATAACCTTTTTGGGAAGGAGCAAATGGGATACCAAACGAAAGCCAAACCAACCTTAAAACCAAACCAAACCAACCAAGGACGCCTTCTGCTCCGATTCCACCAGCTTGCTAGTGACCCCGGGGTGGGAAACCAAAAAGGAAACCCAAGGCAAACAAGGAAGCCGCAATAAAACCGACGAAAACCATTAAAACCAAAGGAAACCAAGGGACACCAAAGAAACCCGCAGGAAGCCAAAAGGAAGTCAAAGGGAAGCCACAAGAAAGCCGGAAGAAACCAAAGAAACCATCAAAAGAAAACCATCAAAATCGTAGAAAGCCACAGGAAACAATAGAACACCAAGGGACCAAGGGTTCCAACATCCTCCACTTGAAAAACAAAGAAATTTCCAACCCAGGCGCCACACGCAGAAGCCTTCGGAGCCCACTTGGCTGGTGAAGGTCTCCCCTTCTGTCTGGCGTTCGATTGGCGTTCGCAAGCCCGCGAGCCCGCGAGCACGTTCGAGAGCGAGAGCGATTCGTTTCGGGCCCTAGGCACAACCCAGTCGCGACCAGTCATATAGCCTTGGCTCTCAAAATCGAGGGGCTGGGTTTAAAGGCTACCTGGACCGATTCGAAAGAACACCCGACGAAAAGAAGGGGGACTCATCCACCACCATTTTGGGGCAACTGCCAATTTTTGTGGGGAGCTTGAGGGTTCAGCTACTTACCAAGTTGGTGGAACCCGGCAAAGAACTCAGGGAGTGAGGGAGTACTTGGCTGTTCGATTCGCCAAGCTAGTTGTTCCGCTCGGTTATAACTGACTAATTCCCCCGCTCAGTGGGGTTCACCTTGTTCTTAGGAGGTGAAAAGCCCCAATTGGCTAAGGTCGTAGGGGCTTCAGTGAAACAGCTTGGAGATCCGCGCCGATAGACTCTAAAAGTGTCCAAGCCAAGACTGAAAGGAAGCTGGGTGTCAAGCAGCTATGCATCTAATTTAGGTTTGGCTCTTATAATCACCATGATTGTTCTTTCCAAAAATCAAACAGCTGGCCCTTTCAAGATGATGCTTAGTCTTCCAAAGCCTTCTCAATCACCTGCAGAGTGGTCCTTTGGCGTTCTGCACAACATTTTGGGTTTGCATAAGTTCTATATACCTCCAAGCCAATGCATACACCATTGGAGGGTACGATGCGCAAACTGAGACACTCACAGCACTCCTTGACGTTTCGGGGCTGCTTCACAGATTGCAACACATGTCGTCTCGAGTCTCAAGACACGTCAACTGCAGGAAGATGGAAGATTGACCGTCGCGGGTGGAGGGCCCGGGGTAGGAAACGAGCTGTGGCAGGAAAAGGCCCCTGGTAGGAAACGGCCTTGCGCAAGAAAAGGCTCTTGCACGGAAACATCCTTCAAAACACAAAACTGTCTTCCGGTAGGAAGCTCCCTCAAGTGGGAAGAGGCCTTTGGTGGGAAACGGCTCTGGGCAGGAAGCGGCCTTTGGTGGGAAACGGTCTTCAGCGGGAAACGGCATTGCCAAAAGCTCCACAAGGACCCTTGGCTTCGCAAGAATCTCTGCACTATCAGGCCCGCCGCCCGCATCAGTTGGGCCAAGCATAAGGGCAAGACGCGTGACATCCTCAACACACACAGCTTCTGTGAAAACAATTTTGGCCTGCCATCCACCAAACAAACTTCACCTCACCATCCCAAATCGCCAACAAGCTGCGTTTTTTCCGCGCATCCAAAGCTAATGTCGCTGCACTAAGAGCTCGCAGCACATGATTGGCAAATGTCCCAATCACACTTGCTGCGAGCACTTGTCACACACAATGCGGTCCGTGGTGGCCATTGCCACCCGGCGCCGCTTTTTAACCGCCCAAAATGGGTCATAGGCAGCCTCCTCGTGACCCTGGCGACAAAATTGCCCGCTCACTGCCCTCACTGCGGGCTCACTGCTCGTCACCGCCGGCTCGCTGCGGTCCTGGCCCTCGCTCGGCTCCGTCTTGATTCTCGGCTCCATTTTCACCGGCACCAGTTTGCTGCTGCGCGCAAACTTGATACCCACCATCTCCACATCACTGTCACTGTTGCAGACATCCGCTGGGCCATCGTTGTTCAGGCAAGCGGAAGGCATCGTAGCTGCAGAAGAGATGGCTGGCTTGGGGCGGTGGTGGAAGTTGCTCCGGGGGCGTGTCCTCCAATAGGCTCTCAAACTCCCTCTTCGCATCCTCAGGAGTTTCCATCGGGGAAGGGCACGCGATCAATGAAGGGTGCCTTTTCTGCAACTCTTCAATCTCAGAGAGCAAATTCCGGAAGGGCTCCACGCCAGAAGCAGAGCAACCTGAGCGACACAGACTTCGTGCACGGAGACACTTTCAAACAAAAGGCGAAACAAAAGTGCAAAGGCGTCCAACACCTCGTTAAATCGGTTCCAACAAACAATCCCTGCGGTAAACGCAGAAAACACAAATCTTGCCAAGGGGCGCTGCCTCCACATGAACTCTGCCAAGAGACGCCCGCAAGAATTCTTCCCAACTCGCCCGAGGCCACGCTGGCGGAAATACTTCTTAGTCCGACCAAACAAGCCTTCCACTGCGTTGGTCGAGACTCGCGCCTCCTGCCCGAAAAGCATCTCGGTTCTAGCAAACTCCCCCTTGGAATGGTTCACAGCCCTGTGCACGTACGGGCTGTCCCTGCGACTCATCCACTGGTATGCTTGCGCGAATCTGTGAAGATTAAGCTTCCCGGCTGAACATAACGTTGGATGCGGTCTCACATGGTTTTCGCTTTGCGATCAGGAATTTCGATCAAGACACACGCACCAGTGGCTTTGCGAGTGGCCAAATCCAATTCTAAGAAGCCCATGACCAAGGTCTTGTGTCTCGCGGTCCTTCCGGAGAAACCACCCTTGGCCCCCTTCTTCTTCACAAAGAACGTCTCGTCCACGCAAACCACTTTCCCTGGCCCTCCCATCATTTGCCCACACATCGCCTGCTCAATGACCAGCCACAAAATGCTGCGCAGGCGGTGAACAATCTTGGTCCACGCCTTGTGCTTCACTCCGGTTTCCTTCAAGCATTGCTTCCGAGTTGCATCTGAAGAAAACCAGTACAAGCATCGCAGGTAATTTGCCAGCGTCACACAAGTGGGCAAGTAGTGCGGCAGAGTTCCTGGAGCACGCCATGACTTCTTGTAGTTGCACCGTTTGTGCACGGGAGCCCGGCCATCGTCTTCTTCGTCTCAATCGGGTTGGAAGCACTCTTCCAACTTGGCCGTGCAGTGGAGGTTGCAGTAGGCTTTTCCCTCGTTGCTACTGAAGCCCCACTCGTGCCCTCGGGCACAATGCTTTGGCAAGAACAGAAGTCCCAGCCAAATCAAGAACCAAAGAGCCTGGTTGTTGGTTCTCCACACCTTCTCGGCGCCTGTTTCACACGTGAAAGCCATTGTGCACCGCAAGGAAAACAAAAGTGCGAATCACCTCAAGAGCCAAAATGCTACAGGGTTCTGCAACTGTGGCTCGCAATTGAATTTACCAAAAAAATGAGTCCCTTAAAATTTCCCAAGTCTCAAACATGTCACCTCGCAGATGATTGTTTCTCAAAGATGGCCTCGGCTCCCATGAGTCCCTTCCCAAAAATCCAAAACTGAACCTCTTAATTTTTGCAAGTCGGAAACATAGAACACTTGTCCATGCAGATGTTTTTTTTTCCAAAGATGGAATGGATATTTCCCCCTACCAGGAGTTTCCCACCAAGGGCCTCAAAAATTTCCTGCAAAAGGCCCTGAAGCTGTTTTCCTTCAACAATGCGAATGCCACTGAATTATGTTTCCTGTGTTGCACAGTTTCCTGCGAAAGCCGTTTCCAACTGCAGGAAGATTGACCGTCGCCGTTTGCCCAAAAGGGCTTTCAACTTGACAAGCGCACAGGAAAATTGAAATCCATGTTTGCTCTTGTTTTTGATTTTGTTTGGGGGGTCCGAAAAACCAAAATATGGTTGTTTTTCTTTGGGGGCGGGGTCCGATTCCTATCTTGACACATAATTCTTCAGATGCAACTGATGCCAGGGATGCTGATCCTCCGCTTTCACAGGAAGCTCATGTCAAAATGGCAACCAACAGCTGCGGTTTACCTCACCCCAGAAGATCCATGGCTCGAGCAAAACTGCCAAGAGGACACGTACCCCCTACTCCAAATACCCTCTTATTTTAGGAGCATTTTTTGTGAAAATCGAATTTTACATGGCAAATACCTATTTCTTTGTGTAAAGGGTTGACATGATCCCTGAATTGGAGTAGGGACAATGCCAAGGACCCCGCCAACCCCAGCGCCTCCCCCTTGATGACTTGAAACTTGCACGGGTCGAAGACCAGGCGCCAGCTGCAGTAAAGCCTCGCAAGCGAGGATGGCCAGTTTCCCCTTCTCACCCCGCGTGGATGTTTAACAAACGTGGTAAGTAGGTTACTGGCCAGGTTATGACTGGTTGGTAACTGGGGTCAGCCCCCTTATGCCCATGGTTATAACCTATTTACTAGTAGTTAGTAGTGCGACTACCCCAGCAAAGAGCCTACTGTGGATGGTTACAACATCCGCGCTGATCGGCAAAAGCTCAGATTGGTGGGTTATCCCACTTGAAGGGCTTCATCCATCCCAAACTGGTGCTGGATGTTGTCCATCCACTACCTTGAATGGCACCTTTTAGCGGGGATTCAGACCACTAACTGGTGTGATAAACCTCTGGCCTCTGGTTGATTGCGAGAACAACAACCAAGTTCGTGGGATTCAGACCACTTTTTGGAGGGAACATCCTCCGAATAGGGCGAAGGTACAACTTCAAGGTCAACATTGGAAATGAAGGTTCAGCCTATGGGACCTTTACTGAATATGGACCAAAACGGGGCGATTTTGAACAACTGAAAGTTGTCTTATATAAAGGCGCCACAACTGCGAGGCTATGAAACGAGAAATCCGAAAAGGGCAGGAGCAACTCCCACACAAATTGCCGCGTGCGTTGCCTAGTGGCCGCTTTCAACACGGAGAAAGGATCCGAAATCGTCTCACGCCTAGCCCAGAAGTCCATCACCAAGGGCCACTCCCTGCGAATTAAGCGTAGAACCCGAAAACACTCTTCGACTTGCCGACTCCCCAAAATGGCTTCCGTTGTCTTTTGTCTTCCCTTTAAAACCCACAGAGCGTGGGCCAAACCAAACACCCCCTTCTGTGGGTTGCTAAACAGCTCTCGCCTCACCAAGGGCCAGTTGGGCACAGCCCCTTCGATCTCGCCGAAGACGTAGACCTGCGCCCGTCAGATGCGACCCATCGGATCCGCGCTCCCAGCATGTCTACCCCAGTTCGTTGAGGAACCTCTGGAACAAGTGGAATCGCCGCATACCGCCGCAAGGCCCCAAATCTGGCTGGACCCTGCCAAATCGTTCCTACCAGCTCTTCTTTCAAAAGCCGGGCGAACTATTCCTGAGACAAATGCTTGGCTTGACCATGGAGAGAACGGAGCACAATGGGAGAGAATGGAGACTGGTGGACTCCTTCCTGCAAAAACTTCGGATTGATGCGAATCAGGAGCTGTCCTTTTCTTAGGGAAATAAGGTCTATTGTAGGGGGGTCCCTGAGGTTTCCCTTGGAAACAACTTCCCTATTCTAGGGGGTTCCCTGACTGTCCTCCGCTTGGTTTTTGTCGAAGTGAACATTGTGGCATCCAAGACTTCGAAGCATGCCAAGGAACCGAATCGGTTGGCCGACCGAATTTCCGAAACAATTTCTGGTTGGTAGGACAACGATCATGTCCCGGAGAACACAAGTTTTGAGAATTTTCTTATAGGAAGCTAAAGCACCGGAAGGGCCAACTGGAGCTAGATCAAGAAACTGGAACTCGCATAGAAATCCTTGAACCAGTACTTCCCTTGCAAGTTCTTCAAACTAGGGCACCCCAAGAAATGGTGTGGTGTTTCCTTTTGCTTTGCCGGCAAAACAAAACCGAAAGAAGGCTACCCACGGCTTTTATCTCAAGGTCAAATCAAACTTTGGGCCCCGGCTCCCTACATCTACTTCAAGAAGAATATGCACGAACCCCCTGCATGAACCAGACCTCGGGGTGCGAAATGGATAAGGTTGCACCCTGACGTGCACAATCAGCCTTTGGCTATTCCGCCGTGAACTATCACCCTGCATAGAAAAAGGTATTTTTGCAAACGGTCTTCTCAGTGGAAATGTAATTATCAGGGAAATCTGTACAAAAGCGGACTCCCTGTTTCGAAATACACCAGAAGTGCTGGCTTGAAACCGGAACCCTGCCCCTGCGTCGACCAAGTAACTCGCCTGCGCTGCGTCTTTCCTGCGAGCGCGGACGAATGCGAAATAAGTGCGTCTTGAAATAGGGGCCCCCCACAAAGACGGATTTCTCCGAATGGAAAATGTCATGCTGTTCTATTTGGCCATCTTAAATACAAAGTCCTGTGCTCGATATCATCAAGAATTCCTGTTTTGTTTGTGCCCTACCCAAAAGGCATGTCCCCCCCCCCCCAGCGGATTAGGAGCTACCTTTCCGGGACGAGGTAAGATGGACACAAGAAATTGCAGCTTTGGCACCACCAGCATCACTCGCAAGCATCACTCGCCTTCATCGCAAGTATCACCTGCCTGCAGCATCACCACCCAAAATCAGCGCAACAAATGCAATTCGGACAACCCGTCCTCTACACTATGATGAACATTCAGGAATTACCCCCACCCCACACATTCTTCAAGCGCATTCATTCACGGGGCGAGCATAGCTCTCGGGAAATTTGGCTCAAGACACCAAGGTTCACCTTCTGAAACCGCCAAAGACTATGCATTGGATGTGTGTTTTCGAGGGTCCCCTCTGCATCTTGGCTTAACGGGACCGTTTCTGAGGTCCCCCAATTGGGTGTCTTTGCCTTTTGAGAAATGTCAAGAATGGTGCGTCGGGACGTCGGTACCCTTTCGGGTTTGGGGAAACGAAACGGACACTTTGCCCATAGGCCCCGGCCCCTCCAGTCGGAGACAAACCCTTGTCCCTTTCAAGCTGGTGTCGCAAGATGACCACTTTGGGGGGACATTGGAGACACACCTCGTTGGTGGACCAGTTTTGAGGAAACCGGAAACACTTGTAGAGGTGCTTGTTGCATCCATGCTCCAAGGCAGACGCAAGGGACCCGGTTCAAACCAACCGAAACAAGCACCTTGAGCCTAGACTAAGCCTTTCAGAAGACCTTGAGGCCACCTAGCAAGCAGACTCATTCCACAAGCATGTGTCGCTAGAAGCAGGAAAACCGGGTTTCATCCATCTAAAGCAAATGGCATCCACCGCATGTCATATACAAACGTTGCAAAAGATGATGTGCAATTTAGTTCGTCGCAGGATGCATCCACTCCAAAACAGTACAGCCCTCCCTCGGTTGCTTTCTGCTCTCCTGCTAAAAGTTTAACATGTAGTGGCTTAATGGAAGACCCCTTAGTTCGCAAAAAGTTAAAGTCCTAACATCCCTTGGCAAAATCGGCAAAATGCCCCAAAGTTCCTCTCATGGCGTGTTGGGGCGCCCCTCTCTTGGCCACTCCCCAAGAGCCGAAGCGCGGCGCTTCGGCCTCAAGGGTGCACGCTCGGCCATGCCGGTGAGGACGCTGCGCGGTGAAGCGGGGTGAGTTCAGTCCGAGTAGTCCAACCGAAACACAAAAGGAATGACCTGAACTCATGGTTGGAGTTAGGCCCAGTTATAGAATGTATATCTTATTGTTTGCTTCACTTTGAGTCACTGGTAAAATGTAAAATGTATCCTAAGTCTACCCCAGAATTTAGGTCAAAAAAAGGGGGGGAAACTGCGCAGCCTGGACTGAAGGACTGACCTGAACTGAAGGATTGACCTGCACTGGTTTCAGGTACAGCTGGGCTTTGCTCGGCTGTGTGGTAACTGGCGCGTTCAGGGTTGGGTTCGGCACAGGGTTTGGGGTTTCACTTCGATGTTTGATCGCTGCAAGCTGGAGACTTCTGGACAGAGCTCAGAGTTGCTTTGTCTGAGCCATTCTTGGCTGAAGTGCGAAAGCAAAGGTCGAGCCCAGATCCCGTGTATAAGAAGATTGGACCAACTGTAGCAATTGGAAGATAAACTGCTTGGTTTGCCTTTAGTTTAGTATTCTTAAAGCCCTGACAAAACACGGCAAAACACATCTGAACTAATCTACAAACAGCCCAGACTCTCCTGTAAGGAATGACAGGCCGACGTCAAAACAGGAGAGCAAGATGGAACAAGGCCAGCCATGCATAAGTTCAAAAGCCAAAAGCTGCCCTCCTGTCAACTAAAATGGAACCCACCAGAGGGTCCCTTTCAAATAAAAACCGTCTTCCAGGACCCCGAAACCTCAGGTTCCATGTTCGGGGTAAGTCTCTACTCAAAGCTCCGGATGGCAAGCAACAGGTTCTGACATCTGTGCGCGATTCGCGGGCCTTGCTTTTTCGTGGTACACGTTTTTGCGGTGAGTTTAAATGCGGAAACCAATGGAAGCACCAGTGCCAAAAGACAAAAAAAAGAACGGGCAACCTTGTTGGGGTGGTAAGGGAAACCCCAATGTCAACCCAAGAAGTGATCTTTGCAGGGTTCCGCTTTTGGCCTACCTCAAGATAGACTTCAACCCACGGTTTCCCTTTTGGGGGGAAGGAGCCACCCTGCGTATCTGCGTCTACCCTGAGGTAGACTAAGAAACGGAGCCCCGGCTCTTCCAAACAAGTTTCTTAACACCCAATGTCAACCCCTGTTTATGAACATGAGGGTGTTCCTCTCCAACAGTGGTCTGAATCCCCACTAAAACCAGGAACACACCCATATTAATAATAAACAGGGGTTTATTCATTCATGTCAACCCAGTTCAGACGTTCCGGAACCCATGTCGAGAGAGTTCTCCACGCTCGATCGATAGAAACGCATTTTGTCTCAACGCCTTGAAGCTGCTTCCGGAGAAATCTATGCAAGGACACGGCATCCCAGAGCAAACTGGTTGAAAGATAAAAAGGGATCTCGGAAATGTTCAATACACGTATTATATAGAATTAGTTGTCTCTATCCATCCACTTGTGGTTTACTGTGGGACAATCCTGCTTTATGACTGATTCAGTATCCAGCAACACAGCCAAATGCCCCAGGACCCTTCTTGACCTGATTTGGTTGCTCTTCTTACAAGACGCCCTATATCCAAAAGGGAAACGAAATCGGAAGGAACCGTCCATAGTAGGCGTCCTTTTTAGGTGACACCAGCTTGATTCAAAATTACCAGTGCCCTCTACTTGTTCAAAAGGACTTCCCTGGAAGCATCCCTTTGTTGGGCCCAGCACCCCTTCTAGACATTCTTTGCGAGGGCGTTTCATGACGAGGCCATGACACTGGCAGGACTCCCATCAAATACACAGGACAAGCCGCAGTCAGTTGAACACCAAACTGAGGTGCTCCTTTCGGGAACTTGCCTCAACAGAAACTCCAGGGCTCACCTTTCAACAAATGGGGTGTTTGTCTTTTTTGAGGATACCCTCTTTCGGTCGGTTTTCAATGGACACCGAAAGAAAAACCACCTTTTGTGGGGCTCCTATTTCATGTCTATCTACACTTCTCCGCCTGTTTCTGGCCATTTGGAGGCTGTCTCCCGCTTCCGGAACGTTCCTTTCGCCAAGATTTGCCGCGCACGTCTCTTGCTTCCTTCGTTAGAAGGATGGGCGTGCATCACGGCAGCGGGGCCCGGCTTACGCAAATGGTGTTGCATTGGCAACAAAACTGACGCCATGGTTCGTTGGTTGGCTCCAGAAGTCTGTTGTTGGTTGCGTTTCTGGTTGCTGGTCTTAGAAGGAGCCCTTTCGTCCGATGACTTTGAATGGAACCCAACCTTTCAAAAGGGAAGGCTCCTGGTGCCTGTTCCATCGGACAATGGCCTGTCTGAACAATGTTCATTTTGGCATCTGCGTATTTGCGCATTCACACAAATCTTGACCCAACTTTCCCGCCAAACTACTTGCCGAAGGCAACCAATATCCGCAGTTCCCTGTTCGGCGTAAACGTTGACGAAAGGGGCGAGTGACAATCTTCATCAGGAAACAAGCCTAGGTGGTATCCCCAACAGCCCCGAAAGCAAGTGAACCCAAAAAGGCCCACTGGGCAAACAAATGAGCTAAGTCTGGCAATGTCAAGTAACCCACACAGAATCGGTTCCTAGTAAAGGGAAACCAAAGGACACCAAGCAGGTTTTGTAGCGTCAGGCTTTGGCCAAACTAGATCCATTTAAGTTGGCCAGACCTACACACCCTGTAAAAGTATTTGTTTTGCTACTCAATTATAGGACAACTCATTAGGGGCACAACCGCTGGTTGAGCCTGACAATGTTCAGCAAATCTAAGTTGTTTCCTCCATCTGCTTTCATAACGTGTTCGTTCACAGGCCCGCAACTGCCTTGCGGCTCTCGACAAATCATTTGCTCCCATCGATTTCCCCCTCGCGCACGCCGCCGCTCATCTTTGGCCGGCTAAACACGGAGGGGGCACGTGTGCACATCGCTTCTAGAAAATATTTGGGAGGGATAACAACCTGAGATGTGGGTGGTGACTGATCATGTGGGATGATTTCCACTACCCCCAAACCGTGACCCCCAAGAATTGAACCACTGTATAGCAATTAAAAATCAAGGGCAGGGAGAGCGGATGCAAGCGGCGAAGCGAGGGCTCAGTATCGCCATGCCTTTGTCTTCGCCTGCTTTTGCTTCTCGGCTGCCTGCGGAAAACTTGGGCGACACGAGGCATGGAGGACTGGGGCCAATGGTTGCTGTAAGCCGTGAGGGATGCTAGCCCTTGCATTTCACTGGGTAACGCAGCCTCTGTCTTATGGTTCAGTGTTGGAGCGGTTGAGTGCAGTGGTCTGACCCGGACGGCCTAATGAATCGAGCAAGCGCAATCTCCACTTGTGGGCCCCCTCATGTGATGCTTGGCCGGGCACTCGCATGCACCTGTGGATGGTTGCGAAGTTCTTTTTAATTTCACCACCGAAATCAGAAACCCTCTCTGGAACCAAGTACTAAGAAGCAATGGTTTCAACCAGGGTTTCAGCGTGGTGCGAACGGATTTCGTCCATCCACACTAGTGACACTAGGTCCCCCCCAGAGTGGTTGGGGATACCTTGCTCAAAGTGCAGCGCATGACATTTGTGCATCCATTTGCTCACATTCTACGCTGGGCAAATCCATCGTGCTCACCACTACACAATTCGACGCAAGGATGCCACGGCATCTGCAACGGCATCATCTGAAATCTGCTTCATCGCCCATCCGATATTCGCAACAGCTTGTGCATGCATCTCAGACCTCACTTCCTTTGCACGCAACGCCAGCGTCGGCAGCACTGCCAGCAGGGAATCATCTCCTGCCTTGGACAATTTGGCCGCGGCCCAAATCGCGTTGGCAACAGCTTGGGCATTCATGTCCGCACTCACTTCCTTGACCTGGTCTGCCAAAGTCGGCAGCACTGCCAGAAGGGCATCATCTCCTGCCTTGGACAATTTGGCCGCAGCCCAAATCACGTTGGCAACCTCTTGCGCTTTCATGTCCGAGCTCACCTCCCTGACCTGGTCTGCCAAAGTCGGCAGCACGACCAGCAGGGAGTCATCTCCTGCCTCGGACAACTTGGCTGTGGCCCAAATCGCGTTGGCAACTTCTTGGGCTGTCATGTCCGCACTTACCTCCTTGACCTGGGCTGCAAAAGTCGGCAGCACGACCAGCAGGGAGTCATCTCCTGCCTCGGACAATTTGGCTGTGGCCCAAATCGTGTTGGCAACTTCTTGGGCTGTCATGTCCGCACTTACCTCCTTGACCTGGACTGCCAAAGTCGGCAGCACAGCCAGCAGGGAATCATATCCTGTCTCTGACAGCTTGGCCGCGGCCCAAATCATGTTGGCAACCTCTTGCGCTTTCGTGTTAGAGCTCACTTTCTTTGCACGCACCACCAAAGCCGGCCGCACAGTGAGCAGCGAGTTCTCCTCTGCCTCCGACGGCTTGGCCGTGGCCCAAATCACGTTGGCAACGTCTTGCGCTTTCATGTCAGAGCTCACTTGCTCGGCCTGAAGTGCTAAAGCTGGCAGAGCATTTAGCAGTGACCCCTGATTCTGATAGCGCTGCTGTTGCATAGATCGTGTTTGCAACACTTTGCGCCTCCATGTGTCGTGCCATCTGCTTGGTGCCTTTGCCAGGCTGCTCTGTAAGCTTGCCAAATGTGAATGACTGTGTTTGTCAAGCTTGGCCACCGCCCAGAACGCGTTGGCCACTTATTCGAGCATTCCTTTTAGGCTCCACCCCCGCACTTTTCGCAAAAACTTTCCGTGATGCCAATGAACTCTGCAAGGAAAGGGTCCTTGAGCACACCGGCCGATATACTTTGTTGCATTTTGGCCATCCTGGCCCACGCGGCCGCCATGGCAAAGAAGTCCAGCTTGGGGTTGTTCCTTTCTTGCTTCACCCCTCGCAACACTTCCGAGGCGCAGGAAGCCTCGGGGATCCTTGTATGTCCCTTTCAACATCACTGACAAACGCGAAAATCGAAAGGAGACGATCGAACCACCCAAGCAAAGATAGCGAAAATATTCGCACCACTGCGCCTCCATGATCCTCTTGGTGATCCATCTCGGGGCTGTGTGGCCATCACTCTTCCCCGACCGCTCGCGCGCCTTTCGCCCGGAAACCACCCGCCGCTCCCGCACGTGCCGCACCACTCGGGGTCTCTCCGACTCAGCCCGGCCAACGCCAAGCTGCGACCCGACGAAGGTGCGGTGCCACGACAGCAGCCACGCCAGCAGCCAGAACACGCTTGGCCGACGGCCCATGGCTTGGAAAGCCTAACAGGAAGGAAATCAAATGAAGGGTTCGTCAAGGAAGGAGTCAACGACCCAGACTTGCAAATCAGGCTTCTTGAACTTTTCCCATGAGGCATCAAACACCTCATGCCTTGTCAGCTAACGCTGCCACTTCAAACTGCGCAGCACTACCAGCACATGGCAACTGCGTTGTCCGAGTTTGGGCCGGCTGGGCGGTTCTCGACATAAGAGAGAACTCTTGCAATGGTCATCCAAAATTGTACCAACAGCTGGACAACATTCTTACAAGCCCCAAGCAAGAATTCAGCTTGGCCACCAGTTGACTCTCAGCATGAAACCCATTTGCACAACAGTATGTCTCTCACAAGCGGGGGACCCTCAAAATTTTGGCGGTTTCCGTTTGGTTTCCCTTTAAACCCACCCCAAAACCGGCACAATCTAAAAAGGCACCCCCCTACCAAGCAGTCTATAGAGGAATTCCTCTTGAAAAAGAGGCCAAGGCAGACACTGGAGTTAAGCAGATCAACTCAGCTTGGCCTGGCAATGCTCGCTCTCTCTTTGCATGTGCGATTCATATCATTCAGCTGGCAAGCAACACCTCAATTGCCCGGTGGCTACCGGGAAAAGAACGAATTTCTTGTTGGTGATGTGTCAAAACAAGCCCTTCAAACGGAGGAACCAACGGGTGCCACGGGGGCAACAGGAAAACAACAGATTCGCTCCGTTGGCTTCCAGAGCGGTCGCCCGCTAGTCGCTCAACTCTCGGCAAGCTGTGGGCAAAGCGCCAGTTGTTTAAGCCTGTCATTTGCACAAAGGCAAGTAGAGATAAAGGTGATCATCTTGCATAACTTCAATTAGACAAAAGGCGGAAAACCAGTAGGTCAACAAGGTTGGCTTTGGTCATGTTCCAAACACTGTTTGTTCCGTTTTCTCCATCGTGAGCACGATTCAACGACGGCGCCACAGAATGATGCCACGGACCATTTGTGTGGCAACACTGAACAATGTCCTTGAACTCAGTCCTCAAACATTACAATATCAAAGATAAGTTTTGCGTAGACTCCTCTAAACATCGTCTTTCAAGGAGTCTCCCAATTTTGACACACACTGCTGACTTGGCGACCAGCTATAAAACCTGTCGCAAGGAGGCCACTGCATCCGCAATGCCGGCATGATCCGGCAGCCGCTCCAAAGCCCATCTCATGTTGGCGACCTCCCGTCGCTTCATGTCGCTCCTCACCTCCTCTGCCCGGAGCGCCACCATAGGCAGCACTGACAGCAGCGCATCATCTCCCGCCTGCGACAACTTGCCGGCCGCCCAGATGACGCTGGCAACGTGCTGTGCAGACATGGTGGTCCTCACATAGGTGTCCTTTTGGAAAAATAGATGGCCCTGGTAAATAAAACAAAACCCATCTAAACCAGTGCCTTCTATTTTTGAGCACACTAACCTAAAAAGGACATCCATGGGTCCTCACCACTTCCACCCGGGCCGCCAACACGGGCAGCAGAGCCAGCAAGGAGTCTTCCGCTTCCGAAAGCTTCGCGGTGGCCCAAATCACATTAGCAACATCCTGCGCGTTCATGGCGCATTGCACGGCCTTGAGCTGCGTTGCCAAAACCGGCAGCGCCGGCAAAAGCGAAGTCTCTCCTGACTCTGACAGCTTGGCAGTGGCCCAAATCCTCAGTTGCCCAAAGGTGAAAATGAAAGGTTCAACCTTAGCTGAATTCAGCAAAACGAAAATGTCCGATTTAAGGAAAGCCCAAAAAAGGTTGAGCTTCAACTGAATAGACATAGTTTTTGTAAAATCAACATAGTAGCTACCCATGTTTCAGAATTTTTATAAAGTACACCAGCATAGACCCCAGATAGCAATGATTGCACACCAGCACCTCCAACAGCACCCCCCGAAGAGCGTCCCAAACAGCACCCGTGCGTCAATCGAGCACCCGCGCCATCACTAGCACCTCCAACAGCACCCCAAACAGCATCCCAAAACAGCACCTGCAGCAGCACCCGAAACTGCATGCCCCCTGCACCCTGCCGTCAATCTCGCAAAAGTGCGCCTGCACCGTCACCCTAAGAGCACCCCCCCAAACACCCAGCCGCACCCCAAACAGCATCCCAAAACGCCACCTGCACCAGCACCCAAGCTGCATGCCCCTTGCACCCTACCATCAAAATGCAAAAATGTGCCTGCACCGTCACCTGCATGCCCGATAGCACCCGGGCGTCAATATCGCAAATTGCGCCCGCACCGTCACCAGCACCTCAAACAGCTCCCCAAACAGCATCCCAAAACACCACCAGCACCAGCACCCCAAATTGCATGCCCCCGTGCACCCTACCGTCAAGATGCAAAAACACGCGCGTACCGTCACCCCCAAAACAGCACCTGCACCAGCACCCCCAAACTGCATGCCCCCTAGCACCCTACCGTCAATCTTGAAAAGATGCGCCCGCACTGCCATCAGCACCTCAAACAGCACCCCAATCCGCAAAAACCAGCAGCCCAAACTGCACGCCCCTTAGCACCAGCCCATCAATCTCGCAAATCACTTCCCCCTCTTTATTAGAAGTTAGAACCCCTATAGCTTTCAGCTATCTGGGTTAACAAAAAAAACGAAAGGTTGCCCTGGATTCAAGCGAGCCGCACATTGGCCATCGCCTGTGGGGTCATGGCAGACCTCACGTCCTTGACGCGGACCGCCAAGCTGGGTAGCAGGCGCACCAGGGAGCACTCGCCCGACTCCGAAAGCGTGGAGATCGCATAAATCACGTTGGACACCTCGTGTTTGGCCCAAAGAATCCGAAGAACCGTGAAAGCAGCCTCTGAGGCACGGTCAAATTACTGACTTACGGCCGTTTCCCTACTTAGTTTGAGAGTCCCCTATCGTTTTCCAGCGCTTCCATCGTTTTCCAGGGGCATCGTTTCTTGAGAGTCCCCTATCGTTTGCCATGGTGTTGAGCATGTTCACAATATCAACGAAACGCCGAATCCTAAACTCAACAGAAGTAATTTTGACGGTACTTCATATGGGCTTGCGTGCGTGCGTGTGTTTTTTGAGGGTACCTCTTTTGGTTGGTGTGCAAAAAATGAAACTGACCATTTGTGGGGTCCAAATCCCTGTTTTGACACATACCATCGTGTAAAAAGGGGCAACCGCTTAAATGTACTGCTGGGTTGCGGGTCCATCAGGCAAGCGAAAAGCATGGCAAAGACTCAAAACCAGCACCCAAAAAAACAAACAGGTGCGGGATAATGTTGACCCCATATGTATCAAGCCCAGCTTATTATTAGGGGGGTGTCCCTGGGTTTTGTGGGAACCAAACCCCTTTTGGAGGGGAACACCCCCGCTATGGAAAACTGGGGTTGATATGAGTTGATTAATATCGGGTCAATCTTACCAAAACTAGCAAGCGAAGACTCATAATTAGTGGATAATTACCAGTAGACTGAGTGGATATTGAAGAGTATACCAATAAAAACCACTATCGTCTTCTTTCGCTTCAATAAACTGGTGGTTATTACCAAAAAACCGAACTGCAAGCGAGCGGCGCCTTGCGCGTCCATGTGCTTTGCCGTATGCTCCGCCGCCAACGCTAGGCTGGGCTTTAGACTGGCCAGGTGCCTTCCAACATACCCCCCACTGGAAATCCGCGGGAAAAAACAAAAACGAACAAACCAAACATGGTGAAAGCTGTGTGTGTATAATTAGCCCGGCACCACAACAAAAACAAGGTATAATACAAACCAAATCGCAAACCACGTTGAGCGCAATATCGAAGGCAACTTGCATCCCAACTCTACGCTAGAGCCGCTAGAGCTTACTTTTGTTCCCAACTACTGGCACAGTGCCTTGTTTTTGTAAAAGCGACGGTTTCATGTACAGCCTCCAAATTTCAATGCACCGATCCGAGCAAGCAAACACACGACACACACGTACCAACAAAAGTGAAGATTCTGCGATGTCAAACACAATGCAAGACCACACAACACTAAGCAAACAACACCAATAGCAGCAAAGGTGCGAGCGCATCTTAGCATCCAGTTTGGCCACTGCCCAAATGGTGCTAGCCACTGCTCGGGCGTTTTTGGTTGCCGCCACACCTTCAGTGAAACATCTCATGGAAAGAGACGGACCGCCTTGCCCATCTTGTTGCCCTCTCTGGCAGCAAAGAGGAACCCTTCTTTGGGGTTGACCATTTTTACGGTGGAATCGGCGGTGGCACTGAACAAGTGGGATCTCCCGGGGTTGATGGACTTCAACCAGAGCGCTCAAGGCTGTAAAGCCCTGGCTCTAAGCCCTTCCAGCCCTGGTAGTCGCAGAAACCTCCCTACGGAATTGCCCAATGGAGGTGCTGAGCACTGCCCACCTGAAAATAAGGTACTGAAGTGTGTTCACGAAAAAACCCAGCGGAACTAAGCACCGAAATAAGCAGATGTCAAGGCAACTCACTGGGTGTCAACGTCAACAGACACCGACGCGAGAAAAAGGAAGGAATAAAACACCTGCCAAAACGTCTTAAGGGCAACTCCACTTGAAAGGGGCGGTGTTGTGTCCTGCTGCCCCCCAAAAAAAACAAAGCAAAATAACATGCTGCCACTGGACTAGGCCGCCGGCCCCTTCCGCCGCACCCTGCGTCAAGCCGACGAAGCCGGGGAGGAAGGGGTCAGCCAGCGCGTCCGCAAGACTCGGCGCCAGCTTCGCCAGCCTGGGGGGGGGTTCGTTTCCTATGGCTGTCAAGGGCCTTTGAATAGGGCCCCCCCCAATCCCAATAGGGGCCAATAGTGAATGGATGTCGTGCTTTTGTGGGTCCCTCCTTTCAAGAAGACCCTCTCCCTTTTGCTTGTTTGGATCCATGTGGGCTTGTCTCCAATCGGCGGAAACCCCACAATAGGTGGGTCTCCCTGACGGTGGAGAAGTGCCCCTTCTTGGTTTCTCTTTGGCTTTTCTTGGGAGGCCAAGACCCTCGCCAGAAGCGAATGAACCACAGCCACGTGACTACCATTGGTTCCAACCCGGGTTCAATCAATTGATTGCTCCCCAAGGGTGGGATGTTCATCTTCTTTGGTGGCAACCAAAAACGATAAAGCCTTGGCTCCACAATTACCCGCCCCTTCTGCTTTCAAACCGGGTTAGCTTCGCTCCAAGGTCGTCAAACCGGCCTCGTCCAGGCGCTGGACAGGGCTATGAAGTCCATGCGCGGGTTGGTGCGCTCCTCTTGCACCACCGCCAGCACCTGCAAAGCTGGGGGCTGAGGGGTTTCGGTTAGGTTCCATCCGATCGCAGTCCCCCAAAATGGTGGCTTTCCCCTTGGCTGCCCTGAACCAACTACCAACAAACAAGTCTCTGCTTCGCCCAAAACGTCGCAGGCGACGTCACCGAGGTTTTGGGCGTCTGTCTGCGTCTGTGGGTTTTTGGTTGTGTTAGGTTCCACCTGTTCGGCGTTGCCCGCACATATTTTATGGGTGCTGCGGGTATCAAGTTTGGGTGTTCAAAGGTGGTGTCCAGGGTGTCTTAAGTTTCACCTTGAGGGCAAAATTCAGATTTTGCGACCTGTGTCAAAGGTAGACCTTCTTGGAGTTCGGACATCCACCAAGGCTTTGGGTCTGGGTTCAGGGCAGCTTCTGGAAAAAGCGTTTGAAGTGCCGAACCCAAATTGGAGACCGAAAAGGTGATGTCTAAATGGGCTTCGTGGCAAGGGGTATGCAACTTGAGGTTTCATCATCTTTGAGCTTCTGAAGCCAAAGCAAGGAAACCTGCTTGCAAGGGGAAACCTTGAGGTTTCATCATCTTGGAACTTACAGAAGCTCGGGGCAAATCTCATCGTTGCCAACCCTGCTCCGCGTGGATTTGCAGCACCTGAAGGAGGCTGTAGACATCAGCAAAGAACCATTACTTTGCACAGGCCTGAAAAGTGATGCTTGAAACCACCAGGGGAAATGTGCGGAACCTTGTAATTTCCCCACCAATTCCCAAGATCTTGGCCGTGACCCCGGTTTGTTTGAACCCGTTCAAGATTTGACGCCCCACCTCCGCAGCGGAGGAGGCCTCCATGATGCGCTTGGTAATCAGCCGCGGCCGCGTGGGGCCGCGGCGCGGCGCCGCCTTGCGCAGCGCCGCCAACGCTGCGCGGCCGCGCGCAGGCGCGGCGGTGCGTCTGAGCAGCGGCACGAAAGTCACAGGGGAAATCACCTGCCAAAGCACCAGCCCGGATGGCAGAAGCCAAGCTGGCGAACGCAAACGGCCCATGGCTCAGGGATATTTGTGGCTCTTGAGTAAGAGATGAAGGAAGTTAGGAGTTTTCTTTACGAGTGAATTCCCCACCCCCCGACCGGGTTCAAAACCACCAAATTGACCAACTTTTGAAGGGGAAGTGACCCCTGCCCGATGGCTGTCCGATGGCCTGACACCCAAAAAGACTCCGATCCTTTGCGGCCCGGCGGTGGTGTATGTTTGCTTCTCACTCGGGAAATGACTGGGATGCAAGCCCAAAAAGGCTGCAAGACGTCGATTGAAACGGTTTTATTCGGTTAGTTACGTCTTCTGGCAGAACGCCTGCTCCGAAGGCAAAGCCAATGTCCGATCCCGGGGATGCTTCAACACCGGGGCCTCTTCTTGATTAAATACGAAATTCACACCGGACAGGTTGAGCATGAACACTGGTCTGAGAATGAACAAATGGGTAACGTGAACCCATTGATGCCCATTGATTGCCTTTCTCCCAATGGTTTCCCGTGAAAGCCTTTTCTAGCTGCTCCTTTTGAAACAAAATCGTCTTCCCGAACCCCTCAGCCGGATTGGTGGTTCTCAGCCTCCCAGCATTCAGGGGATCAAGCCACCATGAACTGGGGCAATTGGGAATAGTCGAGTACCCGCTGCAGAAGTCAAAACGTGGAACCCTGCACCCCACAACATGTTTTCCAGACCCAAGACCCTGTCAACGAACCCCCGCTTTGTCCAAAAAGCTGTTGCCCCCAAACAGGAACATGTTTGCATTCTGGTCGATATCCTTTGGTTGCTGTTGACCCCTCTGCAAAAAGTGGGTGCAATGGACAACCCTTGGTTTCCCAAACAGTTAAAGTCCAAAGATCCAACCCAATAGCAATTAAGATCCAGTGCACTTAATCTGAACAACTAGCAACACCTTTAAAAGAATATAATGCACACATCCTGTGCGGTTGGTTTAAAAAAAAGCCTGGTGTACCACTAAAACCGAACCTCCCAGAACGTCGAATGTCCGCGAGCTGAAGTGAAAGTAGCTCTCGCCCGGTCCACTGTAAAAGTTCGAGGTACCATGCTGGGTGCGGTGCCTCTTTTTGAGGCTACCCCCTTTGGGATTTAAAGGGAGCCAAAAACCCGAGATCCACTGTGCTCCGAATTATAAAGAAACACGGGGCCAGGTGGGGAATGTGGTAAAACCACCCATGGAGCGCCCCAATTTGTTTGAGACACCTCAGTTTCTATTGGATCCTGCAGTTGATCGTGTCGGCGAAGTTCAAACTTGCTGTCTCATGGCGCAAACTTCCCGGAAACGGGCCAATGCATGTTTCAGTTTCTGGCCCATAGGCTGTGGCTGAAAAAATGAAGACGAAGACCTTCGCTACCCAGGGTTTGCTTGCAGGCAAAGACATACCGAAAAGCAAAGTGCGGAGGACAACTACTCAACTCCAGATGTGGACAAAAAAGCTTCGAATGGCTCTCTTGGATCCAGCTTTGCACCCTGACACCTGCGACGGTTTCGGAGGGTCTGCCGGACCGACTTTTGTGTAGCACCAGCCTTCAACGGATGCCGCAAGGAGGACGTGTATTCTTGCCTCACCAACCAAAGTCGGCAGCACAGCACGTACGCAGTCATCTTCTGTCTCTGACAGCTTGGCCGCGGCCCAAATCACGCTGGCAACATATTGCGCAGTCATCTCAGACCTCACTTCCTTTGCACGTACAACCAAAGTCGGCAGCACAGCTAGCAGAGAGTCCTCCCCTACCTCTGCCAGCTTAGCCGTGGCCCAAATCGTGTTGGCAACAGCTTGGGCTTCCATGTCAGAGCTAACTTCCTTGGCCTGCACTGCTAGAGTCGGCAGCACAACCAGCAGAGATTCCTGCCCTGCCTCTGACAGTTTGGCTGTGGCCCAAATCACGTTGGCAACATGTTGTGGAGTCATGTCACACCTCACTTCCTTTGCCCGCACCGCCAAATTCGGCAGCACGGCCAGCAGGGTCATATCTCCTACTTCTGACAGCTTGGCCGTGGCCCAAATCACGTTGGCCACCTCATACGCATTCATTTCTAAGCTAACTTCCTTTGCGCGCACCGCTAAAGTGGGCAGCACAGCCAGTAGGGTCACATCTCCTGCCTCTGACAGCTTGGCCGTGGCCCAAATCACGTTGGCAACATTTTGTTCACTCATGTCAGACCGGACTTCCTTTGCACGCACCACCAAAGTCGGCAGCACAGCGAGCAGGGTCACATCTCCTGCCTCTGACAGCTTGGCCGCGGCCCAAATCACGTTGGCAACAGCTTGGGCAACCATGTCGGAGGTAACTTGCTTGGCCTGGATTGCTAGGGTCGACACCAAAGCCAGCAGGGAGTCGTCTCCTGCCTCCGACAGCTTGCCCGTTGCCCAAATCACGTTGGCAACGTGCTGGGCAATAAAGTCGCAGCTCACTTCCTTTGCACGCCCCACCAAAGTCGGCAGCACAGCCAGCAAAGAATCACCTCCTGCCTCCGACAGCTTGCCCGTTGCCCAAATCACGTTGGCAACGTCTTGTGAGTTCATGTCAGACCTCACTTCCTTTGCACGCACCGCCAAAGTTGGCAGCACAGCCAGCAAAGAGTCGTCTCCTGCCTCCGACAGCTTGGCTGTGGCCGAAAGCACGTTGGCAACTGCTTGGGCAGTCATGTCGGAGCTCACTTCCTCAGCCTTCACAGCCAAAGTTGGCAACAAAGCCAGCAAAGAGTCCTCCCCTTCGTCCGACAGCTTGGCCGTGGCCCAAATCATGTTGGCAACCTCTTGCGCTTTCGTGTCAGAGCTCACTTTCTTTGCACGCACCACCAAAGCCGGCAGCACAGCGAGCAGAGAGTTCTCCCCTGCCTCCGACAGCTTGGCCGTGGCCCAAATCACGTTGGCAACCTCTTGCGCTTTCATGTCAGAGCTCACTTGCTCGGCCTGAAGTGCTAAAGCTGGCAGAACACTAAGTATGGAGGTGTCCCCTGATTCTGATAGCGTCGCTGCTGCATAGATCGTGTTTGCAACATGTTGCGCCTCCATATGTTTTGCCATCTGCTTGGCTGCCTGTGCAAGGCTGCTCCGTAAACTTGCTAATTGTGAACACATGTGCTTGTCAAGCTTGGCCACCGCCCAGAACGCGTTGGCCACTATTCGAGCATTCCTTTTAGGCTCCACCCCCGCACTTTTCGCAAAGCTTCTTGTAATGCCAATGAGCTCTGCCAGGAAAGGGTCCTTGAGCACATCCGCAATGCTTATGCTTCGACTTGGCATTTTGGCCATCCTAGCCCACGCGGCGGCCATAGCAAAGAAGTCCAGCTTGGGATTGTTCCTTTCTTTCTCCACCACCCTCAACACCTCCGACGCAGAGCGGGCGGCCATGATCTTCTTGGTGATCACCTTGGGATGCGTGTGGCCATCAGGACCTCCCGCCGCGCCGCGCCACTCCCGCGGGCGACGTGCTCGCGGCGAGCGCGGAGACGGCGCCTCAAAGGCATGGTGCCCGAAAACCTTGTTGTTTGCTGCCATGAAAACTGAACAGAACCGGAAAAACTTAACAAACAAAAAGAACACGGGTGGCCGGAAAGCATAGTTAAAGTTGAAAGTGAGGGTTGGTTTCATGTATGTATGTATGTATGTGTGTCTGTGTGTCTGTGTGTCTGTGTGTCTGTGTGTCTGTGTGTCTGTGTGTCTGTGTGTCTGTGTCTGTCTGTCTCTGTCTGTCTGTCTGTCTCTGTCTGTCAGTCTGTCTGTCTCTGTCTGTCTGTCTGTCTCTGTCTGTCAGTCTGTCTGTCTCTGTCTGTCTGTCTGTCTGTCTGTCTGTCTGTCTGTCTGTCTGTCTCTGTCTGTCTCTGTCTGTCTGTCTGTCTGTCTGTCTCTGTCTGTGTCTGTGTCTGTGTCTGTGTCTGTGTCTGTGTCTGTGTCTGTGTCTGTGTCTGTGTCAGTGTCTGTCTGTCTGTCTGTCTGTCTGTCTGTCTGTCTGTCTGTCTGTCTGTCTGTCTGTCTGTCTGTCTGTCTGTCTGTCTGTCTGTCTGTCTGTCTGTCTGTCTGTCTGTCTGTCTGTCTGTCTGTCTGTCTGTCTGTCTGTCTGTCTGTCTGTCTGTCTGTCTGTCTGTCTGTCTGTCTGTCTGTCAGTCTGTCTGTCTGTCTGTCTGTCTGTCTGTCTGTCTGTCTGTCTGTCTGTCTGTCTGTCTGTCTGTCTGTCTGTCTGTCTGTCTGTCTCTGTCTGTCTGTCTGTCTGTCTCTGTCTGTCTGTATGTCTGTCTGTCTCTGTCTGTCTGTACGTCTGTCTGTCTGTCTGCCTCGTCTCTGTCTGTCTCTCGGTGTGTCTCTGTCTGTCTGTGTTTACATCCGTCTCCATCCGTCTCTGTCTGTGTCTGTCTGTCTGTCTGTCTGTGTGTCTGTGTGTCTGTGTGTCTGCGTGTCTGTGTGTCTGTGTGTCTGTGTGTTTGTGTGTCTGTGTGTCTGTGTGTCTGTGTGTCTGTGTGTCTGCGTGTCTGTGTGTCTGTGTGTCTGTATGTTTGTGTGTCTGTGTGTCTGTCTTTCCGTGTGTCCGTGTGTCCGCGTGTCCGTGTGTCCGTGTGTCCGTTTGTCCGTGCGCCCGTGCGTCCGTCGGCATCCGTCGGCGTCCACCGGCGTCCGTCGGCGTCCGTCGGCGTCCGTCGGCGTCCGTCGGCGTCCGTCGGCGTCGGTCGACGTCGGTTGGCGTCGGTCGGCGTCGGTCGGCGTCGGTCGGCGTCTGTCGGCGTCTGTCGGCGTCTGTCGGCGTCTGTCGGCGTCTGTCGGCGTCTGTCGGCGTCTGTCGGCATGTGTTGGCGTGTGTCGGCGTGTGTCGGCGTGTGTCGGCGTGTGTCGGCGTGTGTCGGCGTGTGTCTGCGTGCGTCTGCGTGCGTCGGCGTGCGTCGGCGTGCGTCGGCGTGCGTCGGCGTGCGTCGGCGTGCGTCGGCGTGCGTCGGCGTGCGTCGGCGTGCGTCGGCGTGCGTCTGCGTGCGTCGGCGTGCGTTTTCCTGTGTCGTCGTGTGTCGTCGTGTGTCGGGGTGTGTCGGCGTGTCGGCGTGTGTCGGCGTGTGTCGCGCGTGTGTCGGCCTGTGTCGGCGTTTGTCGGTGTGCCTCGGCGTGTGTCGGCGTGCGTCGGCGTGCGTCGGCGTGTGTCTCTGAGTGTGTCTGCGTGTGTGCGTCTGCGTGCGTGTGTCTGCGTGCGTGTGTCTGCGTGTGTCTGCGTGCGTGTGTCTGCGTGTGTCTGCGCGCGCGTGCGCGGGCGCGGGCGCGCGGGTGCGCGGGGGCGCGGGGGCGCGCGGGCGCGGGCGCGGGCGGGCGGGCGGTTTGGCGTGCGTGCGTGCGTGAGCGTGCGTGCGTGAGCGTGCGTGCGTGTCCGTACGTGCGTGTCCGTGCGTGCGTGTCCGATGCGTGCGTGTCCGTGCGTGCGTGTCCGATGCGTGCGTGTCCGTGCGTGTGCGTGTGCGTGCGCGTGCGCGTGCGGGTGCGGGTGCGGGTGCAAGTGCGGGTGCGGGTGCGGGTGTGTGTGTGTCTGTGTGTGTGTGTCTGTGTGTGTGTCTGTGTGTGTGTCTGTGTGTGTCTGTGTGTGTCTGTGTGTGTCTGTGTGTGTCTGTGTGTGTCTGTGTGTGTCTGTGTGTGTCTGTGTGTGTCCGTGTGTGTCTGTGTGTGTCTGTGTGTGTCTGTGTGTGTCTGTGTGTGTCTGTGTGTGTCTGTGTGTGTCTGTGTGTGTCTGTGTGTGTCTGTGTGTGTCTGTGTGTGTCTGTGTGTGTCTGTGTGTGTCTGTGTGTGTCTGTGTGTGTCTGTGTGTGTGTGTCTCTGTGTGTCTGTGTGTGTCTGTGTGTCTCTGTGTGTCTCTGTGTGTCTCTGTGTGTCTCTGTGTGTCTCTGTGTGTCTCTGTGTGTCTCTGTGTGTCTCTGTGTGTCTGTGTGTCTGTGTGTGTCTGTGTGTGTGTCTGTGTGTGTGTGTGTCTGTGTGTGTGTCTGCATGTGTGTCTGCGTGTGTCTCTGCGTGTGTGTCTGCGTGTGTGTCTGCGTGTGTGTCTGCGTGTGTGTCTGCGTGTGTGTGTGTGTGTGTGCGTCTGTGTGTGTGTGTGTGTCTGCGTGTGTCTGTGTGTGTCTGTGCGTGTGTCTGTGTGTCTGCGCGTGTCTGTGTGTGTCTGCGCGTGTCTGCGTGTGTCTGCGTGTGTCTGCGTCTGCGTGTGTCTGCGTCTGCGTGTGTCTGCGTCTGCGTGTCTGCGTGTGTCTGCGTGTGTCTGCGTGTGTCTGCGTGTGTCTGCGAGTGTCTGCCTGTGTCTGCCTGTGTCTGCGAGTGTCTGTGTGTGTCTGTGTGTGTCTGTTTGTCTTTGTGTGTCCTCTGTGTGTCTCTGTGTGTCTCTGTGTGTCTCTGTGTGTGTCTGTGTGTGTCTGTGTGTGTGTCTGTGTGTGTGTGTGTGTCTGTGTGTGTGTCTGTGTGTCTCTGTGTATGTGTCTGTGTGTGTCTCTGCGTGTCTCTGTGTTTCTCCGTGTGTCTCTGTGTGTCTCCGTGTGTCTCCGTGTGTCTGTGCGTGCACGTGTGCGTGTGCTTGTGCGTGTGCGTGCGCGCGCGCGTGCGCGTGTAAGGGTGGGTGTGGGTGTGGGTGTGGGTGTTGTGCGTGTGCGTGTGCGTGTGCGTGCGTGTGTGCTTGTGCGTGTGTGTGTGTGTGTGTGCCTGTGAGTGTGTGTGTGTGTGTATGTGTGAGAGCTTGCTTCCCTTTTTCATGGGTAAGCGGCAGCTGCAGAATCTTTGCCTGTCCGCGGCTCCGTGCAGAAAAAGTCAGCCGCCGGTGCGCGAGAGCTCGTCAGCGCGTGTGACTGGAAGCAGAAGACATCATGCATCTACTTTAAAGAGCCAGAACGTCGCCTCGCGCTCTCTTCAACATCCGTAGCGCCCACGTGACGTAGTCGCGTACAATCCAGCAACGAAACAAACACCAAGATGAACACTTCTACCCGGTTCATCCCTCCAACCACATATGGCCAACCCGCTGCGCCCGGGCGCCAAGCGCGCGCAGTTTGCCGATGGACATGCTGCAGTATAAGCACGCAATGTCACAAAAGCACCTCTCAAACTCTTCACGCATCAAAGGCAAGCAAAATCAGGCCGACATCTCGCCAGCCTGGCCAAAGCCCCTCAATGGCGACCTGCCGCTCCGTGCAGTTGGCCACACACCAACGCCCCTGAACAGCCAGCGCCTACCATATGATAACCGCAGGCCCCAAGCGAAAGATTGGTAAAGAAAGCGTGGTCTCTGCATGACCATTGTGAATTGTTTTTGACGTTTTCGTTGCATTGTGATTCGGCAGGTCTCCGACAGGTGCAGGATTTTCAGTAGGGATGTCAGTGATGGTTGCTCAGGAAATGGTGTCGTGTGTGTGCGCTGGCTGCATGCAACACTCAGCTGCCGCGCGTCTCAACTCTTGACACAGCAAGGCGTAACAAATTACACCAGCATAGACCCCAGATAGCACACCACGGCCACGAACCATGACGCAGCATCATAATGGTTCCCGCGGCATCATGATGATGTTGAAAGCATCATGATGATGTTGACAGCATCATGATGATGTTGACAGCATTGTGATGATACCACAGCAACTTAGCATGGTGCGCTAAATAGACGCGAAGCCAACGTCCTACTGAGCGCAGCAGTGATGTTGACAGCATCATGCTGATACACCAGCCACGAAGGATTCCGCGTTACATATTCGGCAGAAAAAAGGCAGAGACGACGTCCTGACGAGTTCGGCCGCATCATGATGACGCGGACAGTGTCATGATGATGCGGACAGCATCATGATGATGCCGGCAGCATCATGGTGATGCGAACAGCATCATTGTGATGGTAGAGGCAGGCGAATGATGATACCACAGCCACGACAGCATCATGGCGCCGCCGCACCCACGAACCATATACGCAGCATCGCAGTGATTCCAGCAGCATCATGACGTGGTTGACAACATCATGATGATACACCAGCCACGAACCACTACGCGCCACAGTTAGGGCAGCAACAACGTCCGAATCGATTGAGTTGACAGCATCATGATGCTGCGGGCAGCATCATGATGATGCCACAACCGCGACACCCCAAACAGCGCCCGCCCTCAAAACAGCAGCCCCACCAGCACCCCAACGCAGCACCTGCGCCAGCGCCTCACAACCGAACAGCGCCCCAAAACCGCGCCTTCTGTTAGAACCCCTTTGGCTTTCAATTGTCTGGGAAATAAGCGCGGTCAGCAGCACCTCGAACAGCAACCCAAAACAGCACCTGACACAGCCCCAAACTGCATGCCCCTAGCACCCGCCGGCAATCTCCAAAAATTGCGTCCACAACGTCACCAGCACCTCAAACAGCACCACCCCAAAAAACAGCACCTGCATCAGTGCCCCAAACTGCATGCAGCCATCAATCTGGCAAAAATGCGCCACCTTCACCAGTACCTCCAACAACACCTCAAACAACACCCCAGACCAGCACCTGCACCAGCACCACCATGCCCCCTACTACACCAGCGCCCCAAACAACATGCCCCCTGTCACCTGGCCGTCAAGCTCGCAGAACAGCATCCACCAGTGCGGCGCCTCCACCAGCAGCCAAGCTGGATGCCCCCTAGCGCCGGACGTCAAGCTCGCAAAACAGCATCCACCAGCACCCCAAACTGCACGCCCCCTAGCACCCGGCCGCCAATCTCGCAAAGTGGCAGCGCCCCAAACCACATGCCCCCTAGCACCCAACCCCAAACTACATGCCCCGCAGCAACCGGCCGTCACCAGCACCCCAAACTGCATGCCCCCTAGGCGCGCGGCACCTCCACCAGCGACCCAAAGCATGCCCCCTCATCACACTCGCAAAACAGCGCCTCCCCCAACACCCCAAACTGCGTGCCCCCCTAGCACCCGACCGTCAATCTCGCAAAGCGGCACCTCCACCAGCACCCCAAGCTGCATGCCGCTGCATGCCCCCTAGCACCCGGCCGTCAAGCTTGCAAAACAGCATCAACCAGCACCCTAAACTGCATGGCCCCTAGCACCCGGACCTCAAGCTCGCAAATCACTTTCCCTTCTTAATTAGAAGTTAGAACCTCTATGGCTTTCAGCTATCTGGGGAATAAAGACGACATGTGCGTGTGAGTGTGTGTTTGTGTGTGTGTCACACGCGCTCGCGCCTGCGTGCTATAGCGTGGACACAAATCAAGCACAGGGGCAGGAACTCTAAGCAAATCAACCTGCAAACCTCAGAAATCTCAAAGTCAAAACTACTTTCCTGTTCACAAGTCTTCACTGCCATGCAATGTACAGCAAAGCGTGCCAACCATGGTTGAGTTCGCCATTGGAGTGTCGGTTCTGTACGGAACTTATGGCTTCTTCTTCTTAGGACGTGTGCAATTCTTGCTCGCAGCGTAGCTTTTGGCTGCACAAGATCGAATGTGTCCGCAACTTGCATTGCAATCGCCATATTGTGTCACATGAACTGCACCTTAGCGCACCCGCTGCCTGAGCTGCATCGAAGTGAAATCATCCTTCAAGCCGGGGTATGTGCCAACTGCACATCCACAAGTAAAGACTGCACACGCAAGTCCAATCAAAGGATACAATTCCACATCGTTGAGTACGGGAAAAAGGCGATTGCTGGCGCCAATGCAGGAAGCGCACAAAACTCGCATTGAACACTGCCACTGCGAGTCATCCAAACGCTGCTCAGTGTTTTCCCATCAACCACGCCAATCCGCGCAAAGATTCGCGCGCTCAGTTTTTGCGCGTCGACAACGCCAATGCACCCAGAGGGTCGCGCGCGCAAATCAGAAATCACAAAAAGTCCCAAGTTTTTGCATATCAACACGCCAATCCCCGCGCGCACACATCCGAAATCGTAAAAATGTTCTCAGTTTTTGCACACGGACCACGCCAATCCCCGCAGAGGGTGTCATTTTCGTAGAGTGGGTTCGGTCCCACCGCGCCGCCTTAAGAGACTAACTAACAACTTGCGTTTCCACATGTCTCGTGCGAGCTTTCTCGTGCTAGTTGGCTCGTGCAAGCTTGGCAGTGCGCGATTTGGTGCAAGTTGGCTCGCAAGTTTGGCAGTGCAATACATTCTCGTGCAAGTTGGGTCGTGCAAGTTTGGCGGCGTGAACTATTATCGTGCAAGTTGGTTCGTGCAAGTTTGCCTGTGTGATAAGGATTCGGATTTTACCGAAAGAAACCTTTGCAATGCTTTCGGGAAGACGACCATGCAACAACGGTGAAGTTAAAACAAAAGGGATGTAGTCAACACTCGTTACGAAACACGTACCAAAAAGATTTGTCCTGCAGCCGAACATGCAAAAAGCCCAAAAATGACGCATTTAGCGTCCTTTTGGAGACACATCACGAGCCTTGTAGCACGTGGCTCCGCCCAGCGATCCCAGGGTGTGCCAAAGGACCAGCAGCACCGCCGGCGCCGGCGCAAGCCGCCGTCGGCCCATGGGAAAAAAGGTTGAAAAAAATAACTTTGACAAGAAAACTGCACTTGTTTGTGTGTATGACAAATTATGTTTGTGCTTGTTTATGGATAAAGTGTTGTGCTTGACCAAAAACAACATAAACACAAAACTGTTTTCTGACATAGTACTCCAACAGAGTACTCCATGTTTGTTTTTCTCTTCATGATGATTTGTTTATCAAGCTGGAAAAACAACTATTGTTAGAAACTAGAAAAAAACTGACACTTGAATTCATGTTTCATTTGATCGGGCCAAATGATCCGCTTTGAAGTTGCGAAAAGCCAGGTTTGAGGCTTTTTGTGCTTGCAATTGGTTCTTGGTCTTCGCGGCTGAAATCCGGTTGGCTGAAGTGTGAAGGGGTAAAGCCCGGGTTGAAAATGTGTGTCTTGTCTTGTGGGTGTTGCTTTGGCTGTGAGAGCGATCCCCTAGTAACTGTGAGGTATGTGAAGCCCGGTTTGGATGGGACTTGCTTCAGTCCAGATAGGGGGGCTGAACTTGCTGCTGCGTGATGTGATGGCTTGAGCCCGGGCTAAACTCTGTGGACGGCGCTTCTTGCAGTGTTAGGTGTATGTTTGCTTCTCTCAACTCTGAAGATGATAGGGATGCAAGCCCAAAACGGACGTCGATTGACTCGGTCACTCGGTCGGCCACGACTTCTGGCAGAACGCCAGCTCTGAAGGCAGAGCTAAAGTCCGATCCGGCTTCCTTCAAATAGCTTGCGGTTCTTCCCGAACAAGCGAAGCAGCTAACACTTCTTAACATCCGGGGCTGCTTCGAGACCGGGGCCCCGTCTTGATGAAATACGAAATGGACACCCAGACAGGTTGAGCAAGAACACTGGTCTGAGAATGAACAAACGGGTGAAGTGAACCCATTGACGCCCATTGCCATTCTTTGAGTGGTTTCCCGTGAAAGCCTTTTCTTGGGAAAACATGTCCACGTTGCCATGGAACCTAGCAGAGAACGGCCCCGTTGGAAAACCCTGAGGGCATGAAGCCACTGTGGGAATGAACTAAGGACTGGGCTGGGAAACATGGGGAGTCGAATACCGCAAGATAGACTTCCCAGGGGGTTCCCCTTTGGGTGACTGGGCAGGTTTGATCGGCTGTGAAGTTCAAGCTTGCTGTCACATGGTGCAAATCTTCTGGAAACCTGCAAAATGCATGATTGAGTGTCTGCCCCATATTTAGTTGGCTGTCGCTCAAAACATGGAGACTAAAACCTTCGTTATCCTGTAGCTGGTTAATTTTGAACCAGTTCTTTCCTTTCAGGCAAAGACATACCGAAAAGACAACTACTCAACTTCAGACGTGGCCCTGCACAGTTGCCGGACCGACTTTTGCGTAGCACCAGCCATCAACGGATGCCGCAAGGAGCACGTGTATTCTTGCCTCGCCAACCAAAGTCGGCATTACAGGCAGCAGGCAGTCATCTTCTGTCTCTAACAGCTTGGCAGCGGCCCAAATCACGTTGGCAACATGTTGCGCAGTCATGTCGGACCTCACTTCCTTTGCACGCACCACCAAAGTCGGCAGCACGGCCAGCAAAGAGTCCTCCCCTGCCTCTGCCAGCTTGGCCGTGCCCCAAATTGCGTTGGCAACAGCTTGGGCTTCCATGTCGGAGCTAACTTCCTTGGCCTGAACTACTAGAGTCGGCAGCACAGCCAGCAGGGACTCATTTCCTGCCTCCGACAGCTTGCCCACTGCCCAAATCACGTTTGCAACGTGCTGGGCAATCATGTCGCAGCTCACTTCCTTGGCCCTGACTGCCAGAGTTGATAGCAAAGCCAGCAGGGAGTCATCTCCTGCCTCTGACAGCTTGGCTGTGGCCCAAATCACGTTGCAAACGTCTTGCGCTTTCATGTCAGAGCTCACTTCCTTGGCTTGGACTGCCAGAGTAGGCAGCACAGTCAGCAGGGAGTCATTACCTGCCTCTGACAGCTTGGCCGCAGCCCAAACCACATTTGCAACTGCTTGGGCAGTCATGTCAGAGCTCACTTCCTTTGCACGCACCACCAAAGTCGGCAGCACAGACAGCAAAGAGTCCCCCCCAGCCTCCGACAGCTTGGCCGTGGCCCAAATCACGTTGGCAACCTCTTGCGCTTTCATGTCAGAGCTCACTTTCTCGGCCTGAACAGCTAAAGCCGGCAGAACATTTAGCAGTGAAGCGTCCAAGGACTCTGATAACGTCGCTGTTGCATAGATCGTATTTGCAACATGCTGCGCCTCCATGTGTTTTGCCGTCTGCTTGGCTGCCTGCGCCAGGCTGCTCTGCAAACTTGTCAAATGTGAATGCATGTGCTTGTCAAGTTTGGCCACCGCCCAAAACGCATTGGCCACTCTTCGAACGTGCCTTTTCGGCTCCGCCCCCGCACTTTTAGCAAAGCGTCTTGTCACAGCAATGAAGTCTGCAAGGAAAACGTCCGTGAGCACATCGGCCGAAATACTTCGCTGCATTTTCGCCATCCTAGCCCACGCGGCTGCCATAGCAAAGAAGTCCAGCTTGGGATTGTTCCTTTCTTTCTCCACCACCCTCAACACCTCCGATGCGGAGCGGGCGGCCATGATATTTTTGGTGATCACCTTGGGATTCCTGAGCTGTCCTCACATCCCCTAAAATTTTAACCTTTAGTGGGTTAAATGGAACCCCCCCCAAAGCTATACAAGCTAAAGAGCTACACAAGCTAAGAAAATGGATGGCTGGCAGCCAAGCTTCGTGTGGCCGCCCGAACATTCCCGCGCACGCGCAGGCCTCCTGCGCCCAACAGCACCCGCGCAAAGGCGCCGCTGCCGCGGGCCTTGCCGCAAATTTTCGTTGGCCTGAGCGCCATCAAAAAGCGGCAGGTCTTTCAATCGCCAAGAGCTTCAGAGAGGAAATTCATTGGAGCAATTGCACCGCCCGTTGCTCCAAAATCCCAGAATCCCCGCAGTCGAAGAAGTGCAAAGGAATCGAAGGGAAGCGGTCGCTGGTCGACAGGTGTGACCATCTTCTGGCTACCCCTGGATTCAGGTCTTGAGGGGAACCAAAGCGAAGCTCGGAGCCCATCTTGGCCACAGCATGTGGATGTTCGTCAAAACATCCCTACCGAGGTGGGCCGTGAAAAACACCTGAAGGAAACTGTAGAAAGCAAAAGTCGATGATGATCTTTCAATCCAGCGGGAACCTTGTACCAGGCTTCTCGCAACTAAGTAGGTTTCCCAGGAATTCACCTGTGACCATGTAAAGACTCGAGAAGGCGGAAGAAGCAACCATTTATGGCTGGGATTGCCCCTTGCCCTCCAATTACTCGGGTTTTGCTTGCGACTCAAGTGAACTGACGCCCCGCCTCCAGGGAGGAGGCCATGATGTGCTTTCGCCTCGCACGCGCGGAACGCGGCGCGCTGTTGAAGGTGGGGCGCCACGGCCAGAAAGCCACCAGGAGCCATGGCCAGACTGGCGAATGCGACAGACAGCCCATGGCTTCGGAAACCTGTGACTCTGAGTATATGGTTGGAGTTGGTTGCATCCCGACTCAGATGGCTTGTTTTACGTTAGGCTCTTTGAGTTCGTCCTGTCTTGAGATTGAAGGTAGGTTCTTTGAGTTGGTTGTTCTTTGTTGCCATGAGTTCGCGCAATGGGAAGCATCTTGTCGAATTGTCTGCCCAAACCAGCGCTCCGATGTCCAAATCGCCACACAAAGATGCTCCTAGCTGCCAGCACGCTTCTTGCAGCTTCCTCGAGCCGAACTTTGCGCCAACTCTGCAGCCTCTTGGTCTAACTTCCGGTCTGCACAACGTGGAACCTTCCGCGTTTCAGCGGCGGGAGTCGGGGACCTTTCAGCTAGACTCTCTCAAGCGCATCCCTGTGATAAGAATCCACAATGGCTGATGGGAAAAGCGGCCAAGCCATCAACCCTGTCACCCTGCCAACTTCGAATTCCTGCTCCGTCAAAGTGGATCCAGCGACCAGAGGAAAACCCTCTGATTTGGGACTCCGCCTTTGATCTGAAGGGATGAATGTCAAAGGCGGCAAAATGGGTTCCACCTTGCCAAAAGAAATGGAGTAGCATGTCCCATTTCCGCTCAGCTTCAGCCCGAGTGGGACTTGACCATAGGAGCATAGGGCATGTTTGAAGCATGATGTGGCTGTGTTTCCCCAAAAAACCTGCGGTTCTGCGTGTGGTTTCTCTTGAAGCCTCCAACAAAACGGGTACCCCCCAAAAGGACAGACCCAGATGCCTATCATGCAGAGGGTGTGCAAAAGGCAGCCTTATGAAGCCTATCGGAGATGCACCTGCCACGCACCCTTTAAGCTGCGATCGAATTTGTCGCTAGGTTCATGTTCAACCTTGGCATGTGGGAACAATCGATGCGAACCACCAGTTTGGGGTCTGTCCTTTTGGGGGATACCCATTTGTTGAGATGTTCAAGGGAACGAAAAAGGAAATAGTTGGTCTCTATGTCAGAGAAATGATCAAATATGAATTCAACATCAAACTGATCCTCGAAACTTACCATCGCTCAACAAACATCTGGCAGCATCTACTAGCTCCCTCGTGTCTGTTTACCAGGCAGACCCGCAAATAATTCGAAAGATGGTGTGTTGTTTGAGGTGTCCTTTTGTCCACCCATTTAGGGGCGCCCCTAATTTTGAGACAACGCCCCAGCTTATATGGCAGGCACCGTCTCCGAACGGCCAAAGGAGCCATCCCGTCTCGGCCCCAAGTAAAACTCAAACTGCCTCGCAGGTACAAACCAAACGTCCGGCCAAAAGTCAAAAAGTCACGGCGCCTACATGTGCAAAACTTAAACATTGTCCCGTCACCAAGGGTCTACTTAAGCGTTTGCTTCCAACGAACAAATGCATGTTTCATTGTCTGGCCCATACTTAGTAAAAATCGAAATGTGAAAGGGATGCAAGGTGTACGGGAGGGTCTGCCAGACCGATTTTTGTGCGACACCAGCCTTCAACGGATAAAGCACGCAGGTTGCTATGGCGCATGTGAATCGTGCTTCCCCCAGGTCTGGCACTGCTCAAGCGCGGCCCAGAACTTCTCTCATCCACATTCTCACATCTGTATGATGCAAAAGCCTAGGGGCAGCCAGCAAATCGATTTGCACGCAACACCAAAGATGGCAGAAAGCCCAGCAGGGCGTCATCTCCTACCTCTGCCAGCTTGGCCGTGGCCCAAATCACGTTGCAAACGTCTTGTGCACTCATGTTGGACCTTACTTCCTTGGCCTGGACTGCCAGAGTAGGCAGCACAGTCAGAAGGGAGTTGTCTCCTGCCTCTGACAGCTTGGCAGCGGCCCAAATGACGTTGGCAACAGCTTGTGCGCTCATGTCAGAGCTCACTTCCTTTGCACGCACCACCAAAGTCGGCAGCACAGACAGCAGGGTCAAATCTCCTGCCTCTGACAGCTTGGCCGTGGCCCAAATTGCGTTGGAAACAGCCTGGGCTTCCATGTTGGAGATAACTTGCTTGGCCTGAACTGCTAGAGTGGGCAACACAGCCAGCAGGGAGTCATCTCCTGCCTCTGACAGCTTTCCTGTGGCCCAAAGCACATTGGCAATGTGCTGGGCAATCATGTCAGACCTCACTTCCTTTGCACGCACCGCGAAAGTCGGCAGCACGGCCAGCAGGGAGACATCTCCTGCCTCTGACAGCTTGGCCGTGGCCCAAATCACGTTGGCAACATTTTGTTCACTCATGTTAGACCTCAAATCCTTTGCACGCACCACCAAAGCCGGCAGAACAGCCAGCAGGCAGTCATCTTCTGAATCTGACAGCTTAGCCGCGGCCCAAATCACGTTGGCAACATGTTGTGCAGTCATGTCAGACCTCACTTCCTTAGCACGCATCACCAACGTCGGCAGCACACTCAGCAGGGTCAAATCTCCTGCCTCTGCCAGCTTGGCCGTGGCCCAAATTGTGTTGGCTACAGCTTGGGCTTCCATGTCGGAGCTAACTTCCTTGGCCTGGACTCCTACACTCGGCAGCACAGCCAGCAGAGAGACATCTCCTGAATCTGACAGCTTGGCCGTGGCCCAAAGCGTGTTGGCAACGTGCTGGGCCGTCATGACAGAGCTAACTTCCTTTGCCCTGACTGCCAGAGTTGGCAGCAAAGCCAGCAGGGAGTCATCTCCTGCCTCTGACAGCTTGGCCGTGGCCCAAATCACGTTGGCAACGTCCTGTGAGTTCATGTCGAAGCTGACTTGCTTGGCCTGGACTGCCAGAGTAGGCAGCACAGCCAGCAGGGAGTCATTACCTGCCTCTGACAGCTTGGCCGCAGCCCAAACCACATTTGCAACTGCTTGGGCAGTCATGTCAGAGCTCACTTCCTTTGCACGCACCACCAAAGTCGGCAGCACAGACAGCAAAGAGTCCCCCCCAGCCTCCGACAGCTTGGCCGTGGCCCAAATCACGTTGGCAACCTCTTGCGCTTTCATGTCAGAGCTCACTTTCTCGGCCTGAACAGCTAAAGCCGGCAGAACATTTAGCAGTGAAGCGTCCAAGGACTCTGATAGCGTCGCCGTTGCATAGATCGTATTTGCAACATGCTGCGCCTGCATGTGTTTGGCTGTCTGCTTGGCTGCCTGCGCCAGGCTGCTCTGCAAACTTGCCAAGCGTGAACACATTCGCTGGTCAAGTTTGGCCGTCGCCCAAAACGCATTCGCCACCAATCGAACGTTCCTTTTCGGCTCCGCCCCCGCACTTTTCGCAAAGCGTCTTGTCATAGCAATGAAGTCTGCAAGGAAAACGTCCGTGAGCACATCGGCCGAAATACTTCGCTGCATTTTCGCCATCCTAGCCCACGCGGCGGCCATAGCAAAGAAGTCCAGCTTGGGATTGCTCCTTTCTTTCTCCACCACCCTCAACACCTCCGACGCGGAGCGGGCGGCCATGATCTTCTTGGTGATCACCTTGGGATGCGTGTGGCGCCGCTCCGGCCGCGCCGCGCGCGGGCTTTCGAGCGGCCGGTTGGCCTGGGCGAAACAGGTGCGGACTCGAACCAAATGCCTGTGCCCTCAGGCAAAATACGAAATAAACACAAACAAACCAATTGCTCCATCCTCGCAAAACAAAACATTTGATGGCCGATCATCTCATCCAGCAAAACAGCACAAAATTTGTGCTCTTCCAGAGTGGCCAAAAAAACCTCGCCCTGACTTCCCTTCGTTCCCTTCAAGGATACACGGCTACTACGCACCAAAAAAGCGGCTGGCAGCAGCGCGCCCAAGTTGAAGGTGTGGTGCCGCAGCACCGGCCATGCCAGCAGAACCGCCAGCCAACGGGCCATGGCTAGGAGGCCAAGGTTTGGTGTCGGATGGCCAATCGGAGGTTCTTGAACGTGCTGTCTTTTCAAGACCACCTTGGCATGGAAGGGGGAAACGCTTGGATCTCCCATGGCCCGGTCGTGATGTTCGCTCAAGTTGTGTCTGTGGTTAGCCAATTGGGGTGTTGCAGCCCCTGACAAGTTGGAAACCCCACATACATAACATGGAGCACTCATGAGTAGGTTGTAACCGAAACCGAAACCCGATAAATATATTTTCCTTGGTGTGATAAAGTCGTTGCCCGGCCTTCTTCTGGGTAAAGTGATCAGCATGGGTGGCAATGTGCTTGTTTCTGTGCAGTCTGGTAAGGCGTTTCTTGCTTTGTGCCGTGCAGTGCTTCTCTGATCTCGGAAGATGCTGGGGATGCAAGCCCAAAAAATCGGGTCGATCGAACAGGTGGGTCCGTCTCAGACTGGAAGAACGCCTGCAGAAAGGCAGACCTAAAAACCGATCCGGTTTGCTTCAAATAGCTTGCTGCTCTTGGTGCCTTGGGTGGTTGCATCAAAATCAGCTGGATGCCTTGTTGGTTCAATACAGAAAGACAACTGCCCAGGCCGAGATAGTTGAACCGCTTTGATGGGAAGCTGACAGAAAACTGACACAACCACTAAACTGGGGCGAAGCATGAAAGCAGTGATCCCACAACCGTAGAGTTTCCGGTGGCGAAAGAAGGACAGCCTTGCTTTGGTGCTTGGTGTTCAAGGGCAGCTGCCCTGAGTAAAGAAACAGCAAAGAAAAGAACGGGGGCCCGCCACTGAGCAAGAGGGAACCACAAACAGCAAATTACTGTCAGTCTTGTCCCAGGTGAAATGAGGCCGCTTCCCATGCAAATCAAAGCAGACTGAGAACAGGCGATGTCAAATGGGCAACCCATCCCTGTCAAATGATGTCTTTCCGACCCAAAACTCTGAGTTCACACTGAAGGTAGATAATGGGCTCTGGCAAAGGGACACCCAAAGAAATGAAAGCCTATCTGCTTCTTGCGGTTTCAACAGAATCCTTGCCCCCAAACAATGACATGTTGGCATTCTGGTCATAGAGTCAACATTGTCAAAACAAAATATAAATAACACGACAGAAACTGGAAATATCTTGAAAAGCTAAACATGCCAACTTAAACAACAGCAACATCTGCAGAAATCCCCAATGGCATCACCTACTTCTCTCGCCCGCGAGCGCAACCAATTGAAGCCGGAGCGAAGCGTTTCACGGCCTTCTCGAGCCACTCGGGAACGCTTTGGCCTGCCTCGGGGTGTTTTCAGCCGCTGATCTGGTTTGAGAATACTGCCATAACACGACCAGCTTCCCTTCGGTTTCTCTAAACAGCAACTATTGAAAAGTACTTCTTCCCTTCGGTTTGCCCCAAAAAAACAATTCGATAAGTATAGCTTCCCTTTGTCTTCCCGGAAAAAGAGCCAACACAATCCAAAAACGGAGCCTTGAAACCAAAGACTTCCATCTGTGAAACCCCAAAATGACGAGTTGGAATTGTCAAGTTTGTCCGTCTCTTTCTCTTTTATGGGACCCCCAAAATGGGTGGTGTTCCTTTTGGTGTCCCTCTGAAACCAACCAAAAGAGGGTTGCCAAAAAACAAAGCTCATGCATGTTTGCTGGAGGATCGTATACCTCCCACTAAGACGCAGGTCAAAGGCTCTGGCGACCTCGGATTGAGGATACCAGCCACCAACGTCACCCATGACCAACGTTGCTTGTAGGGTTCTCTTGTTCCTCACTTGCTTTTTGGCTTGACCAACCTCACCAAATAAAAGCTGGTGGAACATGTGTGCGTGGCATAGAACAATTCGGCCTGAGGAACAGAAACTAAAGGATTCCTTGCACCCGAGGAGTCAAAGACATGGGTTGCCCAAAAGGATTGGCCCTGTTAAAAAATGGCACTGGATGATGGAAAGCAACCTGCAACCAGTGCCATCTATGCTTGTCCAAACTGAGCTAAGGCAACCCTCATGGCCTCATGTTTCGGATCATCCAAATGGAACGGATGAAAGAGCGACCCAACAAACACAAAACAACTCACGCCATTGTGGGAAATATAATCCATGACGGGAACCCTTTCCAAAAAAGAGTTGAAAGCAACAAGACAACTAGTTCTTGGTGGGGCAACCCAGCCAAACCCCCAACTAAAAGTGACATCTGGGGTTTGTCACGCTGGCATGACAATGAGTTACCCACCATTTGGGGGTCCAACACGGCAACTCATATTCTTCGTTGCTCCTCAATGAGCACAAGGTCCATCACCAAAAAGCCACTTGTTTCCCAAAAGGTCCAATTAAGGCGCCATCCTATCACTCAAAACACTGGTGACATGTATTGTTGCTGGGGAAACCTTCTCCCGATCCAAAGTTTGCGCGGCACCTCCTTGGCAATCTTCACCAAGGCCGGCGCCTCGAGCCGGCGATCGAGGTCCGGTCGCTGAGATGGTTGCACTTGCCCAAAATCCACGCTCGGCGGTTCAATGGGATACAGCAACTTTTTAGCCACATGAGCTTTGACTATGTACAAAACACCTGCCAACAAATGTTCAATTTGCCAACTCAGCGGCGAGGACAACGCTGTGGGCGATTGATGGTCAGATCAAAGTTCAGGCCAGTTGACCAGCGGACAACAGATTAAACAGCAAGGACATACAGCAACACTAGCAATTCAGGCGTGTGCAATTTGCACTGTTCCGTACTACCCTTCCACTACCCCGGTTTTTATTGTGGCTCATGTCTCACTTCTCATGAGGGGATTGTTAGATCCCCGATCTCCCTTCAAAACACACCCAAGGCTCTGTTAGGCTCTGTTAAATAAACAACCCTTTGCGGGTTGCCCAGGTGGGCCGGCCCATAGGCGAAGGCCCCCTGGGATGAAAAACCCGCCGCTTGCGCCAACGCCCAAACAAATCACACAAACAACTCAACAACAAAAACGCCTAAAAAAGCACCTAAACAAACACCTAAGAAAACCTAAAATCACAAAAAAAAAAAGACGCCTAAAAAGCAAAGGACCGCACGGAGAAAAACGGAACCCCACATGGAAGCTTCTAATTGGTGGAGTCCGGTGGCTTGGGCCAGGACTGTTTCCCATCGAGCCAGTGCAAATCCAAATCCAAACCAAGGGAGACTCAGTGGCTGAGTGGATGGCCCAAGAAAAGTCTAAGCGTTATATTCACCACTAAAATGGTCCAAACCCAAAAAGTTTAAAGTTCATGAACTCAGGAAGTGAGGATACCAACAAGGAACCAACTGAAAAAGCCCAACTGAAATCGAATCTTTGCAGTTGTCGACAAAAGCCATGGGCATCCTATGTCAATGACCAATTGAGAAATCCAGCCCCACTTCACATCCCATTCGCTCTCTTGGCCAGCGGCACACTCCATGTCGTAGCCCTGGCGTCTTTTCCCCCCTTGACATACGAAGTTCTGGGTGCGTCTGTTTTGAGAGTACCGTTTTGGGGGTGTTTTCTTTCTTTTTTTATGGAGGAGTCCCCAAAAAAATACAGAAATGTTGCGAGACCCGTGTAAAGGTTGGTACCCCTCTTCAATCAGATTAGGGCTAGCATTTGGTGCACAAACCCCAAACTGCCAACGGACATCTGTGTGGTGTTTTCGCCAAATCCCCAAATGTCACTTAATATGAGTGGCGAGTCTTTTTTAGGATCTGGATCCCCCAAAATGGTGAGTGTCCTTTTGGTTTCCTTGAAAGCCACAAACAAATGGGTACCAACTCCAAAAAGGCACACCCATATTGACTGTATCTCAGAAGGGGAATTTATGCTACCGCCCAGATGGTATCCAATCCAGTCCAACAAAAGTGCAGCCAGGGATACTTACAAAGCTGGCTTGAAGAATCAGAACATGCACCTAAAACAGGGACAGCCCCAATATTAATAAACAAGGGGAGCCCAAAATCGTGTTTCTCCTTCTGGCGTTCCTTTAAAACAACAGAGACTACATGGGGACGACATGGGGGGGGGTCAGAGGGAACGAACAGCGAAGTGCCCCAAAAGATTGCTCTGGAACAAAGGGTACCCCCATGGTTCTCCATGGCTCTCCTTGGGCTGTCGGGTTCGGATCCCCTGCTAGCCTTTAACTTCTAGCGGCTTTGATGGAACCCCCCAAGCCAACAAACCTTCAAACGGATGGCTGGGCACCGCCATCCGTCTCCAAAAAACACGAGAGGCGCCACTCTCTTGCAGATAAACGGATCTTGATACGCGGGCTGAATCCGTCGAATCCGAATCCGAATCCGAATCCGCCGAATCCGGAAAAAAATATGACTCCCCAAAAAAAAGATACTCGGAGTCCTCGTTCCAGAAGGTGATGGACTTGCCGCTCAACCCGGCGCGCCCCGTGCGGCCGATACGGTGCACCTCGATGGACGATTGGCCGATCGGCCGATCGGCCCATGGGCCGATGCTCTCTGCGGTTTTCGTGGGGAAATCTGTTAATGTCATCTGGGAACAACGGGAGGGGGTGGAGGGGGCGTCCTTTCTTCTTTTTTTAGGGTACCTCGACCCTCAAACTAGACCCAGATTCCCCAAAACTGAGCCTTAGTTTCTGTCCTTCCCATCCCCTGATGTTATGGCAGGTTAACCTTTTGGAGCCTTGACTAAGAGCAAACCAAGCCAGGAAAGCCCGGGCATATGAGGCTGAAATGCTGAGGTTTTCTGGGGGTGGTTCAAGTTTCTGGGTGTGTCAAAGTCAGAAACGGGTTGGCGGATTTGTCTTGCCACTTCGGGGGTGCCTTAAAAAAAAAAAAAAAACTACCGCGGCCGGATGTGCGGTACTTGGACCCCGGGGGTTACTACGCAAGTTGTCTTCTTGTTTCCAATCTGGGTCTTTGTATTGGCGAGTGGGACCACACACAGGACACGCAATGAACGCACCTCCTTTGCCTCCCCAAAAGGACACGGGAAGGTTTGGTTGTCCCCCTGGATTGCCAGAATTTGGATGGTTTTCCGG